TTGCTGCATTGACATTGTTGCTGCATTGACATTGCTGCTGCATTGGCATTGCTGCTGCATTGACATTGCTGCTGCATTGACATTGTTGCTGCATTGACATTGCTGCTGCATTGGCATTGCTGCTGCTTTGGCATTGTTGCAGCATTGGCATTGCCGCTGCATTGGCATTGCTGCTGCTTTGGCATTGCTGCTGCATTGGCATTGCTGCTGCATTGACATTGTTGCTGCATTGACATTGCTGCTGCATTGGCATTGCTGCTGCATTGACATTGCTGCTGCATTGGCATTGCTGCTGCTTTGGCATTGCTGCTGCATTGGCATTGCTGCTGCATTGACATTGTTGCTGCATTGACATTGCTGCTGCATTGGCATTGCTGCTGCATTGACATTGCTGCTGCATTGGCATTGCTGCTGCATTGGCAATGCTGCTGCTTTGGCATTGCCGCTGCATTGGCATTGCTGCTGCATTGGCATTGCTGCTGCATTGGCATTGCTGCTGCTTTGGCATTGTTGCTGCATTGGCATTGCTGCTGCATTGGCATTGTTGCTGCATTGGCATTGTTGCTGCATTGGCATTGTTGCTGCATTGGCATTGTCGCTGCATTGGCATTGCTGCTGCATTGGCATTGTTGCTGCATTGGTATTGTTGCTGCATTGGCATTGCTGCTGCATTGGCATTGCTGCTGCATTGGCATTGCTGCTGCATTGGCATTGCTGCTGCATTGGCATTGCTGCTGCATTGGCATTGCTGCTGCATTGGCATTGCCGCTGCATTGGCATTGCTGCTGCATTGGCATTGTTGCTGCATTGGCATTGCTGCTGCATTGGCATTGCTGCTGCATTGGCATTGCTGCACCGCCCATGCTGCTGGTGCTGCTGATACACTTGGGCTACGCCCATCTCCAAACTTTATAAACTGTTTGCCTTTAGAGGCTGACTCTTTTGCCTGATGACGACCGCTTGTGTTGCGATCGAAACGTCGAGGTATTTATAATCACTTTATTTTTATTATTTCTATCTACGTGACTTTACCGAAAGAACCAAATAATAATAGCCATTTTATTAAATTTTTAGGCATAAGCAATTACGAAATAACACTTACTACCCAGGAACAAAAATTGTGTTACATCGCGTTGTAATCGATTCTTTATTCGAATCGCCTACTATTCGGTTGACTCGCCGAATCGTTACATCTTTACAATTCTAAGACAATGATGACCTGTATTCGGAAAAGCCTCACTGAGTCTCAGGAGGCTGAGGTTTTTCTGGAGAGTCCTTGTTACATTGAGGTGTTTGGCCAATTGCTTTAAACATGCGAAAATTTGGCTTCGTGTGGATCTGAAGCCGCAGTGTCTTTGGCAAACCCAACACGCAAGCGAGTGAACAACACTGAAAGCAAAACTCCGCACAGCTGCATTCAAGAAGAATCTACCTGATGTTCTCCATAACACATTTGTAATCAGTGGTGCTGGTGATGATCGATCAATGTTTCTGGAACTCAGGCGTGCCGGTTCTGGTGGTGGTTGTGGTGGTGCTGGTGGTGCTGGTGATGATTGATCAATGTTGCTGGAACTCAGGCGTGCCGGTTCTGGTGGTGGTTGTGATGGTGCTGCTGGTGCTGGTGATGATTGATCAATGTTTCTGGAATCAGGCGTGCCGGTTCTGGTGGTGGTTGTGGTGGTGCTGCTGGTGGTGATTGATCAATGTTTCTGGAATCAGGCGTGCCGGTTCTGGTGGTGGTTGTGGTGGTGGTGCTGGTGATGATTGATCAATGTTTCTGGAATCAGGCGTGCCGGTTCTGGTGGTCGTTGTGGTGGTGGTGCTGGTGATGATTGATCAATGTTTCTGGAATCAGGCGTGCCGGTTCTGGTGGTGGTTGTGGTGGTGCTGCTGGTGGTGCTGGTGATGATTGATCAATGTTTCTGGAATCAGGCGTGCCGGTTCTGGTGGTCGTTGTGGTGGTGGTGCTGGTGATGATTGATCAATGTTTCTGGAATCAGGCGTGCCGGTTCTGGTGGTCGTTGTGGTGGTGGTGCTGGTGATGATTGATCAATGTTTCTGGAATCAGGCGTGCCGGTTCTAGTGGTGGTTGTGGTGGTGGTGCTGGTGATGACTGATCAATGTTTCTGGATTTCAGGCGTGCCGGTTCTGGTTGCGGTTATGGTGCTGCTGGTGGTGCTGGTGATGACTGATCAATGTTGCTGGAACGCAGGCGTGCCGGCACGATTATGTGCGGCGATATATTTTAAAAATAGCTTGGACACACACTTCTCTCATTCACTGGGTCTGCTGGTCACGAATCACAGCTGTAGCAGGATCGCGGCTGTCACCGTCTTGTCCCCGCAGCTGCTGTGTCTCTTCGCAGAAACAAAAACACCTTCACCATACGACCAACTCGCCCTCCGATCTCGAAGGCTCCCAGAAGCTAAGCCACCGTTTCGCCTGCTCGGCACTTGGATTGGGGTTCCCCAACAGCACCACCTCCGCGGGTTGACCAGGTGTTGCGATTTACGGACAGAAGATGGCAGTGTTTGAGTGACACCGATGGTTGTGGGCCGAATTCTGTTTGATTCGTTGCTGTACTTTCTTTTTTTGTGTGGGGGGGTGGGCTTTTGTCATCGTTTTAGAGACCCATGTCACAACACTTGCAAATGAGACTCATCCTGGTATCACGAGTTCTCACCACTTGGCTTAGCAGATCACCTTCAATGTTGAAACCCCCTCGTGTGACGCGCGGTAAGTCTTCTCTGGGTTCAACGAAAGATGGAAAATCGGCCCACAACATCCCAATATGGCAGGACCCTCCATGAAGCGGTCTTGAGACTCTGTTGAACGACTGACGTTCAATGCAACCAGTTACTAATGGGGTAGCGCTTCCCACCCACCAGACGATATTGCATTGTATGTAAGTATGTTGAACTTCTTCCACGCCGTACGTAGCCAACGGTGCTAATCGGAGGCGCGGGGGAAGGGCAAACAAACGAAACACCAAACGCATTTCTCAATAAATTAGTTGTCAATTTAGATTTAAGAGTGCATCGCTCCAGTGGCTTCCTAATATCGGTAGATCATTTAGCGCCTACATGGGAAACGTGAACCCGTTGCGTTACAGCGTTATACCTAAACTCACAGCATATTGGCAACCGACTGCTCATCTTGTTTTAATTAATGTAGCGTCTTGACCATGGAATCCGATCAGCCGTGTCGGTAATGGGAGTTGTTTGATGCACACTTCGCCACGCTGGTCAGCGCGAGTTGGTGAACGCGTGAGTCGCAAGGCGGCTCGGACCGGTTTCCTCGCCACTGATGTGAGCCGTTATCAGGAACGGAACTCAGGTCCGTAGAGGTGAGAGAGGGTGGGGGGGCAGTACGGCCCGCGACTTCGTTTAAGACGGAGCCGCAGTCACGCGAGGCCTAGAAACCTCCCACCCCGAGCGATGTCTCTGCGTCACTGCCCAAGCGTCTTAGCCGCGCTAATCGGGTACTAGAGTGGCAGCAGCGCTGCGTTTCTAAAAATAGAGCGCCCCTCAGTCGCTTCTGTCACCGACAGGAGTGACAGGAGTGAGTGAATCGCGCGTGTGTGCGCGCGTTTGTTAATTGCTGCACCCTCCCACCCCCACCCCGAAGTCGAATGTCCCATTCGGCTCCTGCGAAGTGCGTAGAGAGAAATAAGCAGTGCTCCTGCTATCAGAGTTGTGTTTTTTGTTTGCATTCCGACCGCAGGTATTGTGGTCAATGCAAACATTACTCCTTGTAAAAAAAAGGTGTCGGTTTTGTTGCCAGAGAAAAGGGTAAAAAAAACAATTATCAGTGCTCCTACTGTTTGTTTCACCTGATGAAGGTTGCTTGTGTTGCGATCGAAACGTCGTGATCTGTTAATTTTCTATCTGCGTGACTTTACCGAAAGAACCACAGAGTATAGAAATTTAAAAAAAGGAAACACTGAGAGGCGATTTTCTTGGCATGACGTTGAAAGCCGGGCAGAGTGAACGCGCCGATGAGAGAACACACGCAGGTTTTAAGATATCATTCAAACTGTTCGATTTAAAGCTTTCGTGACTGCAGGGATTCATATTCTTGGTGTCTTTCGGCAAAGTCACGTAGAAGGGAAATAATAAAATAATAAAAAGAAAACAATTACATTATCACGACGTTTCGACTGCAACACAAGCAATCATCATCATGTGTGAAAACCACACATTTTCTTGCCGTGGTTTTCACACCTGATGACGATTGCTTGTGTTGCAATCGAAACGTCGTGAGAATTTGATTGTTTAATTTGTATTATTCTATTATTTCCCTTCTACGTGACTTCACCGAAGCAACCAAGAATATCGTTCAAACTGTTGAGTCAAGCTGGGGCTTGGGGGAGGAAGGACGCGTCGAGGCCAGAAGGGTTGATGGGCCGGAGTTCTCGAGGCGCGTGACGGCAGTGACGCTTCCGAGAGGAGAACACCCTCCGGGGTCACGAGGCGAGGCGATGCGAGGTCAAGGCGTGTGCAGGACCCGAGAGGGTGCACGCTCCGCTCGTGAGTTAAAGTTCAGGATCAGCTATCGTGCTGTGACGGTTCCACCTGAAGACGGACGCTTGTGTTGCCTCCGAAACGTCGTGATTTTTATTTTATTTGTATTTAACTTTTATTAATTTTAATTTTAATTTTTTACCTACGTGACTTTACCGAAAAAAACCTAAGAATAAGAGCCGGCTTTGTTGGTGCGGCGGTGGAGGTGGGTGTTGGGGGTGGGCTTCATCCAGCAGTGGATTGACCACGACTGCTGATACGATGCTACCGGTGCTGCTGATAACGACGCCGATTTGGCTGCTCGTAATGGCAAAGTTGCCAAGGCGGGACCCGAGAGAGAGAGAGAGAGGTCGCAAATTTGCGCACTCCCCTCGGCACGCGCGCGTGTCCCGTGCAACAGGGAGCGCTGCGGAGAGCGAGAGGGAGGGGTCGTGGTGGTGGTGATGGTGGTGATGATGGCGATGGTGGTGGTTGTTAGAAGGGCGGGGGGGAGAGAGAGAGAGAATGCGCTCATTGTTGAGTTAGCGCTCCAGCGTCGAGCGCACAAAGACTCGGGCGCGCTACAATGCGCGCTTTTATAGCGGCCTCGCCACTCCGCTTGCTCTCGACGTCAGGCGACGGAAGTTGCGACGGGGCCACTTCGCTCGATTTGGCCACGGCAGAAGCGAAGTGAAGCAAAGCGCCACCACACCTCCCTCCCCGATCACACCCCCTTCCCCCCAGCCCCCACCGCCGGAGTCTAAGTCCCCGTAATCTTCGCGTGCTGCGCTCCTCCTCGGTCCGTACCGCCGACTTCGAGAGGGAGAGCGAGCGAGCGAGCAGATCATCATCATCATTAACAGCAGCAGCAGCCAGCAATGGCTCCAGGGACGGCGGCCGAGAAATCGAAGCACGACTACCAAGGTGAGTGATGAGACAGCCTCCCATCATCGTCGTCGTCGTCGTGAATTGGCAGCAAAGGCGGTTCGTGAGATTTCCCTCTGCGCTTTCAAATCTGTTGCGTCACGGCACCTTGCGAAGAAGCCGCGCCTTGTCAGTTTGATTGTCATGATTGATGATGATGATGATGATTTCAAATGCTGATGATTGTGCTCTTTGCGGTTGTGGCGCTAGTTGCTGCTGTTGCTTTATTGCTGTGCTCTCTGCCGCAGATTGTTTAAGTGTGGCGGTTGTAATAATTAAGTCGTAATAAATTCTTATTATTATAATTCAAAGTTACAAGCCCGTGCTACCACGCACGCTAATCCGGTCTTTCTTTCCCGTGTTACACGCTGCTGACTGCCGCCACCGATGCGACGCGTCGCGTGCCCTGTAAAATGCCCTGTACACCACCCTCGTCAAGCCGAGACCGTGACGATAAAGTAACAACTCCCTGCCACGACCACGGAACGTGACTGCTACAAAGTAGTGCGCTATGAAGGAGAGCCATTGCCCAAAACGTCGCCTTTGCTGTTACAAAGGAGTTCGGCCGAACACAATTTGAAGCAGACGTTTCGTCTGCTTAGTTATTTGCTTATGTATGTCCGTCGGTGTGGGAGGGGGGGGTCACGATAACTCTCGTAAGGATCCGATATCAACGAAATTGCCCTCTATGATGCAGCTGCCTTGTGTGGTGGTGGCGTCTCCTGGTTCTCTGCCATCTTTCGCCGTAAGTTACCTTTGTTTCATACTCTTTGGTTCTTTCGGCTGTGTCATCAGGTGGGACAACCACAGCAAGTTTTGCTGTGGTCATCAGCTGTCCCACCTGATGACGATTGCTTGTGTTGCGATCGAAACGTCGTGTGATCTATTATTTTTTCTACCTACGTGACTTTACCGAAAGAACCAACGAGTATGGATTCAAATGAAGATCGTCATTTGTTTTGTTTCGCCACCGGTCTCTTTCTAGGCGGAAAAGCTTTCGGGAAGTTGAAGGCGGCACAGGACGACCGACTGGAGGTCATCAACAAGGTCATTGCGCTTCTGCTCGGACGTCTGTGATGACGACGCAACGTAGTTCTGCCGATGATCTAACCGCGTTGTAAGGTAATAGGCGCAGGACCCTGCGAAAGGGGACCTCCGCTTCGAGTCGGCTCTCTCGAGAGAGACTTTTATATATGTTTATTCACCAGCGGCAAATTGCCCTGGAATTTTTCAATATTCAAGCCTTCATGGCGACACCAAAAAGCACAGCTAACCATCCCACCGCCGCTCCGCGACGCGCAACGCCAGCACCACAATCCCCACGCACCGGCTGCGCAACAGCATCCGACGCGCTGTGTCATTTCGAGCTGTGGCACCTCTTTGCTTGGCAGGGCCCCCCCCCCGCCTCCCTCCCCAGTCGGGTATTTGACCTACTCATCCACGCAAACCACTCGTGAGACAGCGACACGCGTGGGAAGGTGTGCGAACGCCATTGGACTCACCACCAGTTGAGCGGTACAACGTGATTATGGGCATTTCCAGGAATTAATCAATGGCTCATTACCATTTGACCACTGTTTCCACCCAGCCGCCCTCCACCCCCCGCCATGCAAACTGCCTTCCACTCCAGTGGACACCATTGTCCTTTCTCCCTTATGAATTCCCTTGGCTTACCAATGAATAGGGAGATCACCACCTTCCGATGCTGCTCATACGGTCTGGGAATTGTCTTGACAGGTTCGCTCGCTGTCACTAATCGCTACTGCCACCGAATCCTGCAAATAATTACGTCTAGACGTGTTTTAAGCCAGCGCACGGCATCTATCTCATATATAATGATAACTTACAGACATTTGTCAATACACTGCTGGATGAATCCCTCCCCCCCCACCACGCCATATCGGCCGTGGAAGTTTGACTATACTTCACCAAGCTGGCCAGCGTGGGTTACTGAAGGGGGCTGTGTTTCACAACCGATTGAGATATCACCCGCTACTACGATTAGCCGTGGCCGGGAATCGAACGCAGGTGCCCAAGATCATAGCTGCAGTGTTGCCAACCACTGCGCCACCGCTCCATATCATACATATAAACTAAACTACTTTTTGTAGTTTACCAGGTAAGGCCCACTGAGCTATACAGCTCTTGTTCAAATGATAGCCCAAGGAAGCGGCTTATCACGTGTACATTTTTATCAGGCAAATACTCGAATCGCCTGTGAATTCTAAATGTGGAGGGAAAATAATCAGAGGACCTGGAGAAAAATCCACGCGACCACGGAGAGAGAGACGTGCAAACTCCAAATGCACAGACGCCTGAATCTGGATCGAACCCACGACCTCCTGCATACCAGGCGAGGTAGTAACATCTCTTAGCCACCGTGATAATGGTGATGATGAGAGAGAGAGACACGCAAACTCCAAATATGCAACAGCAGGCGTCTGAATTGGAATTGAACCCACGACCTCCTGTATACCAGGCGAGGTGGTTAACATCTCGCTCCCGCGGTGCCACTAATTTGCATTAGTTGTTCTAATTCAGTACTTAAAGTAATTAAGCCTGAGCTCATCGCCTTTGTGCACTGCCATGTCATCACTCCACAGCGTCTACAGATATCTGAATAAGATTGACGCAGCATAAAAACATTCCTGCGGAGGGAGCTGGTAGGAACGTTGGGTTGCTCGGTCAATGGCCAGGGTCAAAGGCGACGTGGTGTATTCCGCAAAAATGCCCGACTCTGAGGGCGGGCACAAGCCGGCGTGAGCAGGTTAAACGTTGAGTTTTATAAGAGCACCACGGGGTGACCAGCCCCTACCCACCCAAACCCACCCCTCCCAGCTCCCACTCAGCCCCACCCTCCCCACCCTCCCCACCCAGCCCCTCCCCACCCTCACCTCCCCACCCAGCCCCTCCCTCCCCACCTAGCCCCTCCCTTCACGACGGACGGACGGACACAATAATCCCATGTGGGCTGGTGTAACCAGGAGGTTTCTACCAGTACAACATGATGTAGCTGTTTGCATAACTTAACACTCGGGTTCCTTTTCATTGCGGCCCATCCGTATATAACAGGAGGGTTGCCCTTGTGTGTGTGTGTGCATGCGCGTGTTTGTGTGGGTGCTGGCGACCCACCCCCTCGTGAACCGTTCTGGCCTTCATAGGTGCTCGCTAACAGCACTTACCCCAACAGTCTGTTCAGGCTATACGGGGGATCTTTGTCTTTGTGTGAAAGTAAATGAGTTTGTCTTCCACCGATTTGTAAACACAGCGGGCAGAAGCGACAATTGGCTGTTCACTGTCACCAGTGGGGGACTGGGACTTGAAGTTGGCCCAGGTGTTTGTAAGCAAACACACCGGGATACCCAAATTGCCGTGTGCGATCTCATCGACCGCATTTGGGGCTGTGTCCATAAAAAAAACTAAACGGGTGGCTGGTTAGGAGGAATAATCTTTTGGGGCTGCCCGAATATTGAGAGCGTACGCAATCAATGAAGCGTACGCAGAGGTAATCAAATATTTACATTTGCCCCGGCGACTGCTGCCCTATGGCCATAGTCCGGGCCTCACTGTCACCTTAGAACTTTAGACAGGCCACATCTCCCGTGCCCCCTGTTGGGCCCTCAAAACACGCCTCGCGGGCTTCCCTTTGGCGACTCAACGTGGGCCCCCCGTGGCTCCTTGCCACCAAAACTTAATTTACGAAAAGAAAATCCTTCCCATGCCCTCCGTTGATCTCGCCAGAGCGGTTGTGCAACAGGTTTCAATTAGAGTGCCTTTAATGATTACACGGCGGTCGGTAGCGGTGCGGCAGAGTTGGGTTTCACACGCGCGTCCTAATCGTGCCAAGTGCGAGTCGCTGATCGTTGTTGAAGTGACTGTGAAAGGCCCGGCACGTGAAGAACCTCACTCACATGATTAAAAAACAACACAACATGTTCAACTTTCGATTTAAAGCTTTCGTGACTGCAGGGATTCATCTTCTTGGTTCTTTCGGTAAAGTCACGTAGAATGGAAATAATAAAATAATAAAAATAAACATTATAAAATAATTCTCACGGCGTTTCAGCCACAACGCAAGCAGCCGTCCTCAGTTCTGACGCTGTCTCCCCGACAGACCTGGTCTTCACCTGAGGACGGCTGCTTGCATTGTGGCCGAAACGCCGTGAGAATTATTTTATTATGTTTTATTTTTATTATTTTATTATTTTCATTCTACGTGACTTTACCGAAAGAACCAAGAAGATGTTCAACTTTGCATAGGCAATGCATTCGTTGGGGATGCTAATGCGGATCATCTACTGTAGGCCTATTACTTAAACGCTTTAATCGGTTGCCATACGCTGCAGATTATGTAAAGGTGGCCCCGTCTATTTTGGCGTGTGCGTGTGCGTGCCTCCACTTAGGAATTCCTGGAAGATGAATTTTACCAAGATGTGGACGACCTCGCCGAAAAGCTGGAGTCCTACAAAGGTGTGTGTCAAGATGTTTGTTGTCAAGTCACCGTTCGCTTACACACGTCGCGTCTCCTCGGCGGGGATAACCATATTCTGATGCCCATGCTTTTGTTTTTCTCTCTCTCTCTCTTTCTCTAAATATCAGAAAAATTTCTCGACTTCGACTTGAACGACGAAGAAGAAATTGGTGAGAAGCTTGGCATTTCAATTACTTGAACTCTGTGACTCACTCGTGTTGATGTTGCATTCCTGGCGTGTGTACATATAACTACAACTACCCCCACAACATTAATGCCAGAGCTGTGACGACACACATCCCACCCTCCCACGCTCCGGGGAAATTGATATCCCCCCGCCACCACCACCACCACCCCTCTATTGGATAGCTCGCCACGCAGTCGCCATGCAGCCATTGACTCTCATCTGCCCAGTGGATCTCAGCACAGTCGCGCTATCAATGGAACGCTTTGTACCGTGCCACTGCTTAAACAGTAAACACGGGCGTAGGGGTGGAATGATTAACTCCGGCATATACGCTTATGTAATATAAATCGTGGGGAGCGGTTGCGTAGTGGTTATCGCGTAGTGGTTATCGCGAACCTGGTACGGTGTGTAAAACATCGCCACTGGGGGAGACAAAGGCCACCCCCTCCTGTGCCGTGCCGCCCTTTATAAGTGCTCGCTAACCGCACTTGACCCAACAGTCTGTTAAAGGCAATACCTGGGGTGGGGGGGGTGATGGAGAAATCTTTGTCTTTTGCTTCACGCGTATGTCCTTTCACGTCACTCCCTGCCAACATTTCAACTCATCGTCCTCTGTGTATCCAGCAGACATCTCTAATAAGATTACAACAAAAACAGTAGGAGGCGACCGCGAGATGGACGAGTGAATGATTTAAAAAATCGAGTTGGCAGACACCATTCGACGTCCGAGATCAAGATTCCCGCGCACAAGCGGAGCCCCGCGGGAGCCTCCAGCAACATTCGCCCGCGACGCGGCTAAACTGGCGACGCGCGTGGCTCCATCGATTGACCCCGGCACATGCCACGCGAGGCCGCAGGCTGACGCGGTGGTGTTGTTGGTGGCCCCCGACGTTCTCTCCCGTGCTCCCGAGCGCAGACCTGATGGCGCTGAAGAAGATGCTGGAGCGCGTGGGCACGCCGCGCACGCACCTCGAGCTGAAGAAGATCATCGCCGAGGTGACGACGGGCAACAGCGACTGCATCGGCTACCGCGACTTCCTGGCGCTGATGCTGGGCAAGCGGTCGACCGTTCTCAAACTGTAAGCGTGCCAAGCAGCGGCGGCGGAGGCTGTTTTGAATGTCGTCGTTATGTCATCATCATCGTTGTCATCACCATCGTCTTCGACATCATCTTCAAGATCGCCGTCGTCTTCGCCAGACTATCAATACCGCCGATTGTAGTGCCATCGTCATCTCTGACATCAATGTCGTCTTCACCATAATCATCACTTTTATTTCCATCATCATCGATCATCTTGGGCGGCAGCGCGTTCGTCACTTGTTGTTGCAGAGGTTCGCGGTTTGAACTCAGCGGCCGCCCTGGTTATTACTGCGAGTGTATTGACCGAAATATGTTAAAGATCATCTGAAGTCGTTCGCAAAATTAGGCCATCGTGTGCCAAAGTCAGGGTCCGAATTTTGACAGATTTGAAAATGACCCGTAAATGATCAAATTGTGAAAACATGCAAACTGAAAATATACAGCAGGATCAGGGTCGGGATCGAACCCACCGCCTCCTGCATACCAGGCGAGGGAGTGAACATCTCATCGCCACCGCTGCACCCCAGCCGTGTAATGATTTACTCCCTACAGCATTTCCACGAATTGTCTCAATTTGAGGTCACGATTCCATTTCAGAAGTTAAAAAAAAATCTGCTATAATACATTTCTCATTTTTTCCCCATTCCGCGTGTAGTTCTGTTTGCTCAATTAGCCTGAAAACGTGAAAAAAACAGCAAGTTGTTTTGCAAATATTTCCACTCCACATGATGCGTAAACATCAATCCTCGTGTAAATCTGACACGCGTGTCGTGAGCGTACGGCTATCAATTCGAATCCTCGAATCGATGCATCACATACAATCCCAACAACCACCGCCATCTGAATCATCGAACAATCGAGGGTCGTCAAATCGACGTCCCTCAGGTCGATTCTCCCAGGGGAACACAGATTCACTGTTCCTGCGGGGGTGGGTGCGTGGGTGGTGGGCACGGGGCGAATGTTTTCACCGCATTTTGCGACGCGTTTGTGAAACATCCCCCTCTCCGAATCACGTCCAGACGCACGCGGCAACGTTTTTCTGCAGAGAGCCTTCTTAATGTAGCTCGCAGATGTCGGAGCACTCGGCACGCCGCCTTTCTCAAACTTGGGGCGACATTTGTTTCACACACGGGCAGAGCCTGCACCGCCACGCATCGCTGCCGCTGATGGTGATGATGATAATGCCGTGGCTCTGGTCAGATGGTGCGCACCCACGCGGCCCCTTGCCACACGCGTGTGTGCGTGTGTGTGTGTGCGCACGCGTGGTGTGTGTGCGTGCCTGCGGGTATACGCTTGGCTGATTTATGATTTCCTGTGTGTGCCTGGCTGTGCTAGTCGCTCGGCTCGACATGGTTTCGCCTATTGAATTAGCTTCGCGCGAGCACAGATGTATATCATGAGTCTGCCTTCAATGATTCACTTTAGTCGTTTCATGCCACACTTTAGTTGCGTGCGGGATGTGGGCGGTGGCAAGCGCATTCCACTGCTGGATGAAAGCCTCCCCTATACCGCGCGGGTCACTTGACCATAGAAGGGAAGTAATAAAATAATAAAAAATAAAACATAATAAAATAATTATCACGACGTTTCGGCCACAACGCAAAAAACCGTCCTCAGGTGAAGACCAGGTCTGTCTCCCCGACAGACCTGGTCTTCACCTTCTACGTGACTTTACCGAAAGAACCAAGAAGATGAATCACTGCAGTCACGAAAGCTTTAAATCGAAATTTCACTTCACCATACTTCCCCGCTTTGATCGGTGCAGGTTGGAAGTGGGGAGCATAGACCTAAACGCGCGGGAGTGCAGTGCGACAAAATAATGTTGCCGCACTGCCCAACGCATAGCCGCACAGAAGCCTATAGCACCCTATCGATGCGGTGGTGGTCACCCATCCGAACACCGCCCAGGCTGAACACCTGCTTAGCTTCTGAGGTCTGTTGAGACGGGAGATGATTGGGTCATCGGCAAAGGTGACGTAGCCACCGACGTTCTGGCGTGGGTGTCGACAAACAGCTTGGAGCGGTAAAGATTGACGCATTGATCCACCCCCCCCCCCCCCCCGCATTGACCGTCACTCACAAGCACGTACACAAGCCAAGCCACTTGCACGTTCAACCGAACTAACACCGTCACACGGGGATGCTGCCGTGGTGAAATGTCTGTCCAGTGCGCGTGGGCACTCAACGGCCCGGCAGTTCGTCGATGGGCAGGTCGCGTGCGGTGGGCAAAGTCTGGGTGCTTCTGTCTGTGCCAGAGTGGAAGAGAAGGCCAAAAAATGACCCTATTACCTTAGAACTTTAGTGACCGCAGGAAGTCATATTCTATGGTTCTTTCGGTAACGTCGCGTAGATCGAACAAAAATAATGACAATAAAATAATAAAAATGAAAATAGAGTGAATAAAAAATAATAAGAATATCACGACGTTTCGATCGCAACGACCGCTTTTGTTGCGATCGAAACGTCGTGATTTTTTTTCTATATTTTTGTTAGTTTAATTTCATTTATTTACTTTTTCTTTTTATTTTTTTATTTTTTCTATCTACGTGACTTCACCGAAAGAACCATAGAATACCCTATTACCGTGGAGCCGACCCAATGATAATAACCACCTCTATTTTATAAAGCGCCGAGGTATTTCAAAGCGACGTACATAAAAATAAAACTGGGCTCACAAATAAAGATCAAATGTAAGCAAAATAGGAAGCTGAAAATAGCAACACCAATGTCAATAACTACTCTCGAAATTCCAATCAAATGAAGAACCACTAAAAAAAATCCATCCACGTGGGCTCTGGCAGGTGTGCGTAGAGAGAGAGTGGGGGGCAGGGGGGAGGGATCTTGCTAGCGGCGCCTCTCGTTCTGCGGGCCCTCTCTGCCCGCAGTGGCGTGGGGGGCGGGGGGCCGAACTATTGCTGCAGGGCTGCCCCCTTTACTTCTAGATTTGAAGCTTTCGTGACTGCAAGGATTCATATTCTTAGGTTTTTTCGGTAAAGTCACGTAGGTAAAAACATTAAAATTAATAAAAGTAAAATAAAATAAAAATTCACGACGTTTCGGAGGCAACACAAGCTTCCGTCTTCAGGTGGAACCGTCACAGTATGTCGTGGCGGTGACGGTTCCACCTGAAGACGAGAGCTTGTGTTGCCTCCGAAACGTCGTGATTTTTATTTTATTTTACTTTTATTAATTTAATTGTTTTTACCTACGTGACTTTACCGAAAAAACCTAAGAATATGCCCCCTTAACGTTTACGTGGCCACGAGTGCCACCGTGAGTTGTGGGGATAACGGCGGTCGAGCGGCGTAATTGGGATTCATCGCAGAAGCTTCCCCACCGCCCCCCCGCCCCCCCCTTCTGAAAGCGTTGCCTCGATGGGAAACGTCGCCTCCGTGCCGGTTGGCCCCCGTGAACTCGGCAGGCTGCCGCCGCGCGATAAGTCCGGCAAGAAAAAAAGCGCTGAGGCCACCTCCTTGTGAGCGAACGCGAAGCGCTGAAATGTCTTATCGCGTGCTTGAAAGGTTTAAAAACTAAATTAACTGAAGAGCTAAACGGGAATAATAATTGACTTAAAGCTTTCGCGACTGCAGGAATTCATATTCTTTGGGTCTTTCGGTATATTTTTTCCTGCCTTAGCAGCTCTCTTGCTATATTTTTTTTCACCTGATGACGATCGCTTGTGTTGCGATCGAAACGTCGTGATATTTTTATATTTTTTGGAATTTTCTATCTACGTGGCTTTACCGAAAGACCCAAAGAACGGGAATAATAAATGTGGCCCCTTTCGTTTAAAAAATGCGAAAAATGTGCAGCGTGGCTTAACGGCGTCTGTCTCTTTGGCATGGTGCTCTTTAAAAAAAAATTCTAACAATAATAAAGATAACATTAAAATAACAGGGGGAGCAGGGGGAATTGAGGCTACAGGGCCACATTTGAAGTCATCCACCGCCGATGTTAGCCGTGGCCAGGAATCTAACTCGGATCGCTGTTCTGATGGCAGCGCGCTCACCGCCGCACCACTACTACACCATTAAAATGTACAATATGCACGTGCACATTGCAACAAACGCTGAGTCGACTGCTACAGCGGCGCGACCTTCAATCCAGCCAACCGAGCGACCTTCATTCCCCTTTCCCGCCGTCCACATCGCCTATCTACAAAGAGGCATTGCCATTGCACCACGGACGGGTCGACGTGAATGTTTGGTAAACGAATTTGGGCTGGTTTATTTCGGAGCCGTTCAAGGACGTGGTTAGTTGGCGCCGGCTTGACCGGGTCTCAGCGCGTCGTGGCGCGTGCCAGCCCGTGTTACCCCCTCCCTGAAAACCGCCTGACCCAACACAAAGGTCATTCGAGTGTGCGACACTCACGCTGGCAGGCAACCCGCTCCGACGTTTCCCCGCTCTTCCCTTCCCTTGGGCCGCCGCGGTAGCCAAGAAAGCCAAGCCTGCAACAGTCGTCGGAATTGTCCCACCGCAGGAGAACGGGTTGTTTCCCTTGTTTTTTTTTGGGCCGAGGGGTGACGCGGGAGCCAAGACCGAACGCTTGGCGCAAGGGTCCCTTCGAGCGTGAACTTTAATCGTACGCCTCCGCTCGTCAGTTTCGCAAAAAAAAAACGTGGCTCTTTAAACCATGAGGTGTACCAACAAAACACGATCAGGTTTCAAAGATACAAAGACAAAGATCCCCCCCCCGTATAGCCTTAACAGGCTGTTGGGGCAAGGTGCCGTTCGCGAGCACCTGTGAAGGCCGGCACGGCACATGAAGGAGGTGGGTGGCCAGTACTACAAAGACAAAGATCCCCCTATGGCCTTAACAGACTGTAGGGGCAAGTGCTGTTAGCGAGCGCCTATGAAGGTCGGAACGGTACACGAGGGGGTGGGTGGCCCGCACCACGCCCGACCGCCTTTGTCTCTCCAGTGGCGATGTTTACACACCGCACCAGGTACTCATTTCAGGCTGAGTCGACCAAGGGGGAGGCCCAGGACCGGTTCAGATAATCGTCACCGGTGTTGGCCGTGAACGGGAATCGAACCCGGGTCGTTGGGTTCGTAGCGCAGCGTCGCGCTAACCGCTGCACCACCGCTCCCCAGCACCACACGTGCAGCGAGCGCACTAACGTCTCTGGTGCGTGCCCGTTTGCAGGATCATGCTGTTCGAGGGGAAGGGATGCGGTGAAAATTCCAAGCCGAGCGGTCCTCCTCCGAAGCGAGACTTGGCAAGCCTGCCCTAGAGCCCACCATGGATGCGCTCTGAGATCGCTCTTCTGGGGGTGGTTTGGGGGGGGGGGGTTAGATCGGGGAAATATAAAATGTGTCGTTAACCCGCCACCAAGCCGACACACGGCCAATTGGTGAGATTTGTCACGTCGACAAAGCGTGCCGGTTAGTTACCACTTCGGCACAGCGGGCGTGTAAGCACTCACAACAGTTAAAGTTTGAGTACGACGTTTCGCTGGTGGGTTATCACAACCAGCTTCATCGGGCGATTTGCCAGAATTGCGAATAAGTCTTCCTGTTTCGAGGTCTTAAATAGAGGGGTGAAGGTGATGCCTATCAGCGGGGAGACTTTAAGCGTGCGAGCAGCCGACGCTGGCACGCCCCGTAATATTTGTCTCTGCAGTCACCCGTTACGCTCATCGGGTTTTCTGTGCCCCATTGCAACGCACCACACAACACGTGGCCGCGATTGTTTTCAACGGCGGAAAAACATTTCCTCCGCCAACAAGCGGTGAATAATGTTGTTAGCAGTCCCCTTCGAGCGCACAGGAAATGCGTTAAATCTAACGGGGAGAAAAGCTGGAGAAAATATCGCTGTTTTTTTTTATGTGTTTTTTTTCAACCTTAGCTTCTTTCTATAAAGCATCAATACTTATTATTTCCATTAGTGAAAAGCAATGTTATAACGTAATTATATTTTAACGATGTAGTAAATATATGAGTTCTGTGATTACGGTAAGCTTGACGCTATCGCCTATTTTTACATCAGCTGTTCTAAAAGATTTCCACGGGACCAATCCGTGGCAGCGTGGAGCACGTTTTGATATCCGCTCAGCAGAATTTTTTTCGGCGGAGTTTTAATTTGCCACACGTGCGGAGAGGCATTTACACCGATGCGACTACACCGCCGCTCTAAAGCAAGACGAAAATTGTTCCTGTACAGGACTTTGGGCGATTCCCCAGATTTCTCAGGCGCTGGGTGAACGATAAACGCGAGGCTTCAGCGCGTGTGCGTGAAAACGCTCGCGAAAGTCCGTGGTGAAGGTGAGCGACTGGACGCCTACAATCCCAGGGGCTCTTGAGATCAAACGCGGAGTCACCGATACGCACATCTGCTGTGGAGGCGCTGACCACGGGCAGTGGTGGGAAATATTGACAATACGCACACTGTGTTGGGATTCAGTCCTTGCTGGTAATTGATATCCTTCCCAACAGTTCAGTCAGCAAACGGGCCATGACCGGAGCAGGCCCTGCACCTACCCAGCAGTACTGTCGCGGTCAGCAGTGTACATAGTTTTTGCTATTAACATGGTATGGCAAGGCCCAACTATGACATGGAGTTCTAGGGTGGGTTCAGGTCACATTTTCAAGAAAAAGTCGACACTATGGAAAAATCTATATTTTAAAAAATGCGTTTTAGTTTTATCGATCGCGTGAAACAATTACTCTTAAAGACTACTTTTAGATGGTTTAGTGATATGATAAGTAAATTGTTTATAATAAGCCCGTACCGCTGTGACTGTTTGACCTCGATTGTGTTCGTAGTGCTGTGTAAATAAAGAAAGTATTTAATTATGTTGTTGTGTGTCTGAGAAAGAGTACTCGGTCTGAGTTTAAAATGCAGCAATGTTTTTTTTATAATGAAATAACAATTACATCAGTGTTCAACACCAGGCTTGGAGAATACTAATTTTTACAATTAATCAGCACGACCAATCGCACAATAACATTACACATTTATCAGGCCTTTCCCAACTCTAAATATATGTTTTTTTAATGTACCCAGTGTTAAATAATTATGCTAAATCAGTATATATAATGTTGTGTTTAAATAATAACTTATACAGCCTCTTTGTTAATCCCCTTCCGGATGAATGCCTCTCCCTTACACGATGTTGGGACATGGTGGTTGTTTGACCATACTTCACCATGCTGGTCACTGGGACTTGGAGACCATAGGCGCATTCATTATATATATACTTTGGACCAATGTGGAAAAATTAAATAAGTCGAAGCTCTTCTGTATTAATTCTAGATTTGAAGCTTTCGTGACTGCAAGGATTCATACTCTTAGTTCTTTCGGTAAAGTCACGTAGGTAAAAAATGAAATTAAAATTAATAAAAAATAAAAAAAATCACGACGTTTCGGAGGCAACACAAGCTTCCGTCTTCAGGTGAAACTGTCACAGCAATATATCTGCATCAAGTGAAGAGAAATCCCAAGAGGTACGACCTTATATACTAGTATATAATTGTAATTTCATTTTTTACCTACTTGACTTTACCGAAAGAACTAAGAGTATGCTCTTCTGTATCTCCAAAAAATGGTTTGTTTGAGTCTCGTGGCACACTGGCCTTCGAGATTAACGAAAAACCACATTGCGCAGCTGTTTCACGGATAACGCCGAGGAAAGTTGCTATATGGGGAGATAATGTGTGCCGTGCACCGTGAAGTGAGTCGTCGGCAAAGTCTGCCACGCGAGTCGGGCAGCGTCCTTCGGCGAGGAGATTGGAGGTTCTCTTCAGCGAGCTTCAGCGGTGAAGACTCTGTGTGTCCGGGAAAGCCTCACTGAGACTCGAGGCCTTTGCTCGGCTGCATTCAGATGTTTTGTTGAATTTCATCAATTGAGCTTTGGGGCCGTCCATAAATGACGTCACACGACGTCACAAAAAGTCAGACCCCCCCCCCTTAAATATGACGTCACAAAGCTCTGCCCCCCCCCCCCCCGAAAAAAAGAAAACATGCTTCAAATCGCTTTAAACTATTGTCATTGTAGTGCGTGTTTAATGTGGCGCTGCACTCTGATGTTGTAGGAGAAAACATTTATTAAAAAGTTTATTTAATTAAGTAGAAAGTGTTGTCTATGTTCATTTAAAGTTGCGCATTTTCATGTGACGTCACATTTCTCAACCCCCCCCCCTCCTCGTCATAAATGTCTGACCCCCCCCCCCTAGGTACGTGACGTCATTTATGGACGGCCCCTTTGGCGATTGAGACGAGACCAGATTTCCCACGTGACGAGATAACACTGTCAAGGCTCCGCACCGATGACTTCGATGCACTTGCCTGATTACGGTGGCGAGACGTTAACCACCTCGCCTGGTATGCAGGAGGTCGTGGGTTCAATCCCGACCCTGAAGCCTGCTGTCTATTTGGGAGTTTGCGTGTGTCTCTCCTCGTGGTCGCGTGGATTTTCTCCACGTCCTCCGGGTTTTCCCCCTCCAGATTTAGAAACACGCGTTTTAAGCAAATTTAGCTGCGAGGATGTCCATAGCTTAACACTTTGTTGAGCTATCATTTGTGATAGCCATGTCGTTTCTTTCAAAAAATATGTAACTACATAGCTTAGTGGGGCCTGACCTGGTAAAATCAAAATTGTTAAATCTCATGGCCACTGTGCAGCCTAGAGGGAACTTGAAAGTTTCACAAACCGCTGCCTTCAAAGTGCTGGAGCACATCCGTGTGCTGCCGCACATCCGTGTGCTGCCGCGCCCGGACCCTGTTGTCAATACGATAACGTCTCTCTGCAAAGTGCAGTATCGGACGAGCAGAGAGCTTAATGATCAAGCTCCGCAGAACAGTCCTCCTTGCACACACTCATTCTGGACAAAGTACTGTATGTATGTTGAACTTCTTTCGTACCGTACATCGCCAAGCACGCTAATCGGAGGTGCGTGGGATGAACTACAAAACTAAACACAAAAAGCGGTCCTCAAGAAATTACGTTTCAATCTGAATAACTTTAAAGTGCAGAACTCCAGTGGCTTCCTAATATTGGAAGCGAAGAGCGTTCCAGACGGCCGCAGAAGCGCATCTGAAAGGGCGAGCGATGCGGTGACCGCCGCCTTTGTTCGAAGGCTTAGCCCAAAGCCACTGCTGTTGCGAGGATGACCCAGTGACCTGCAGCTTTTGATGGTCGCAGCAAAATTTGTCTGGCTCGCTAACAACCCTGGGGGGGGAGGGTGGGGGGGCATGTTTATGTCTGTCAGTTGAAAGTAAAACAGTGGCAGCTACACCCTCATAAATCATTGTTGAGAGAGGGAAAAAAACCCACATTCGCGTCTTTTTTCATTATTATTTAAAGCCACACCTTGTGATTAACAGAAAACGGATTTCTTATAAAGACGCGCCCTTCCTTCAAGAGGTGGCTAGGTGCTGTCTCTGATCCAGAATGCTGCGAGCACGGCTGAGATCCTGGGTTCGTAATCCCGGGAAGCCACGACAAGGGTTGTTGACTTCTAAGATACAACAAATAATTATTTGGACGTATCATGTGAAGAAAAATACCTTGCAATACCAGAACAGAGATTAGAGCTATGTTTTTTTTTTTTATAATGTAATTAGGGACTGATAAAACGGATTCCAGACATAAAAAACTGCATTTCAAATGTAATTGTTTAAATGTACTGAATTTTACCTACGAGTGCAATTTGTATTGCCTTTTGGCAGTTAGTTTTTTGTTGTTGTATCTATATTGAGAGAATAGTTGTCACTATTTTCATCAGCTTTAACTGGATTACGATTTTACTATTATTGTGAGCATAGTTTTTATGGACTGCGATCCGGGATATTTGGATATTAAAGATTATCTATGAAAACAAATATTTTTATTACATAACGTATAAAAAAAAGGCTGCAAAGTTGGGTAAACGTGGGAAAAACAAGTCACATATAATACGTTTGCTGAACAACGAACTGATTGGAGGGGCACAACTGAAAGCCACATGATCATATGTATGCAGTAAGTTTTCGTTTAATGCGTTTGATGAGTTCCTGAAAGTGCCGCATTAAGCGTAAAATGCGTTAAGCGAAAACAAATAACGTAACGATAACGTTCGGCGAGGTACTTTGCACAACCACTATGCGCACCACACAGTGAGACGGCGGGACAAAGAACTGACGGTACACCGCCACGTTCCTGTATCATTCCGCGTACTGCATCACTCTGCCGCTCAGCTGCAAAGCTCAAGAAAGTAGTCCGCCAGTCGGCCGCTCAGACACAGCATTATAACGGTGCCGCGTTCCGCACGACGTAGGGCGTTCCTGCATTATAACGGTGCCGCGTTCCGCATTTCGCGAAAAGCGTTCCCCGATGGAAGAACGACATCATCGCGAAAAACGCGTTGTGTGAACGCCGCACGTTAAGCGAGGACTTACCGTATGCTGTACGGTACCTCGGGCAATTGCTGAGGGCGTTACTTCAGGTTGCACCGAATATTGTTTGGCACGATGTCTGACGTTTCGCTCCACGTGCTGGGAACCTCCTCAATGAGCAGAAAACCCACGCAAAAGGGATGGGAGTGCTTTCGGGCAAAATATTGATTTGATAAATGAAAAGCGAGAGACCAACGTTCCTGTGGATCAGAAACAAGGGGGGACGCTGGCACCGTCAATGAAATAAAGTTGAAAAGTGTGCAAAGAAGAAAGGAGCGAGAGAGAGATGCATGCTTGGAATTACACGGGCAGAAGGAAGACTTCGCTGTGAGCCAGAGAAGAACTACAACCTGGAGACATCGCATCGAGCGATGAGAAAAGTGGGCGCACTGCGTGAGGACAGACGGTGAACCAATGGACACGAATGCTGACGGAATGGCAGCCGAGGGAGAGAACTCACCCGAGCGGATCACCACCGCATCGATGGAGCGGCGAGACCCGTTCATGTGCAGCAGCGAGTGGCGATGATGGCAACGCAAGACAGCGAGGGGATTTCCAATTGGCTGGGGTGGCCTTCATCCAGCAGTGGATAGATGATGGTTGTTGATTATGACGATGCACAGCACGTGATTTATTTATTCACGAAAATATCACCGAGTGATAAAACTGTTTGGTCGGAGGGCCCTGCATCGGGATGTTTTGCCAATTTCTTTTTTAAGAGAGTGGGGAAAATACATTCCACACCAGACGGGTTCACGAACCCATTGGCTGTACCGCCATCTTCTGGCTAACTCGTAGACAGGATGGTTTTGGAGTTTCACAAATATCGACGCGATGGACCAACGCTACCACTTAGTCACTTCGGACGTAACGGGATTTCTCACTTGTCACTGCAAGGGAAGGAAGACCTCAACGTTTTTGGATGACTGGCCTTCTGTGGGGGAATTTCCTATATTTCCAGGGACTGAAATAGTCTTGGTGGTTGAGGGTTGGTGGCGAGTGATATCAGATGATGGGAATTCCTGGGATGCAACGAATACGCGACTGAACATTTTGAAATGCATTCCGGGAGTTAATATTTATAACGTCTGATTGAAGTATAATGAGTTTTCTGCGTGTGAACAGTCATTTATATGTATGAAAATAGAATAGGTTTTACCCTTTCTGGCAATAATTATCACTTTTGCAAGGAATCAAGTTTACATTAACCACATGTATTCTTATGGTGAACATGCAAATACACATGCTCTGATAATTGTCTATTCAAAAAGGTATATATTTAGTGTTTGAACATCTTACCAACAGTTTTATTGCAAAGAAAGGATAAAAACCTAATCTTATTTTTCATAATTCACAGGGTTCACCAGCTGACCGAAAATTACTTTAAATAGGCCGGCTGCAATGCAGAGGGTTGTGAATGTAAATATGCCGTTTTGAACACAACATGCCTGCAGTCTGTGTTGTGTCCTGCATTCCTGCATGTGTGAATGGTGGGCTACGTGGAATTCCAACTGCTGCTTTAGAAAAAAAACATTAAGCCACGTACAAACAAATACACTAAACGAGTCGACAAGCACACACAGCAGCCCAATTGTGACCAACAGCAATGATTCCTTCACCCGCGTTGAAGACTCAAATCCTTCGGCGACTGATTCGATCCATCCACACTGAAGGAACACAAGACTTCATCCTCTTCTGCTTCACCCCCCACCACCACCACGCTGCTCGTCTTTGGAATTGCCTTCCATTGTCTGTTTTCCAAAGTTAACAACCTTTGCATAATTGCAGAAACACATTTTAATTCTCATCTGTTTTTACAACGAACAAAAAGTCGGAAGAGATTTCCTGCTTCACACGAGCGTTGAGGCATCGGTACTCATCTCGTGCTTACAGCCCCGAGCCAGTGTTGGAAATTCCACATTCCTATGGCAGAGGCGAGCCTCGAAATGGAACAACCACTGCCTAGTTCCCCACAATAGTGGACTCCTTAATTACCCCCACCCCCTGCCCCTCCAAAGGGGATGAAGGGCTGTGTCAACCCCCAATCAGGATTTGAGCCCTCAGCTTTCCGTTTGGGAGTCGCCCGCTTATCAATGACGCCCTTGAAGAGGGCCCCGATTGTCGATGACCGCGTGGCGATGTTTGGGGGCCTTCGGGGGTCAGTGCTCCAGCGACCGTGGTTTAAAGATAAAAAAAACGTGTCTTGTGCAACAGGCCCGCTAACCGCTGCAAAAAAATCTGCTCCTGCGGCAGATTTTTGCCGCAGCTGCCACACATCTGTGGAAATGTCTACTGGCGTGGCCGCGCGCTTTGAAAGCCAACGGGCGCATATTTTGCGAGGCGCTTTTGCCAGTCCCAGACGCCAACATCGAGCCGTGCTCGCATGGGGAATAGAGCTAAAAAAAAAACCAAATGTGAACCGACCGTCGGTCCAAAATAAAAAAAAATTTTACCTCCACGATGAAGAAACTCCTCTGTTTACCATTAATTACATTTTAGTTTTTTGTCAAAGTGATATCTAAGAGAAATGAGTGTCGTATGTCAAGGCAGAAAAAAATATAGACGAATAGCATCCTTAATGTATAGGGGAAAGCTTTGCCGAGTCTCAATACCTTTAGGAAGGTCCTGGATTGGGATGCGTGCTCATTTCCACAAATAAATCAAAGAATATTTGATACTAGATGAATCCGATGAGCTATAAAGCTCGTTCTCACAGATCTCCAGTATGTTTGTCCTGCAGAGTATGTTGTTGAAAACTCCACGCAGTGAGTTTAGCAATGAACTTGCTGTACTGCCATCTCCTGGCCAGCATGATTCACCAAACCTGGCCGAGGAATCGGTGGATCACAGACGGTGCATCACTGCTCCCAGCTATACATTTTCACTTCCATTGGAGGCAGGACTCTTTAAGGAGCATGGGCATTTGCATTTAATTATCAAGAAACCAAATTGAATATACATTTATTAAAGAAAGGAAAACACCGAGGACTTTCAACATGACGGAGCCTATAAAATAGAAAAAAATGTCCACATAACCAACTATGTAAAATATGTATGTATAAATCAGTGTATTCTTCAAATATTCACGAAAATGTCCTTTGTGAGTTCATAATACATATATCGTGTACCATAACTTATCCTCCTTGTGCCAAGTATTCACGCATTCCACGTTAATATAAATTCCCTCAGTGTCCCAAGTTATAAATTTAAATTAAAACACTCTTGCTAATGGACTGGAGTTCAAACAGTTCCGGGTATTGAGCCATTTTGTAATTTGCACAGCAATATGCAGTGCAAATTGCTGGAACCAACTGGTTTTGTGACGAAAACATCAAAACTCAGGAGAGTAATAACCATCAAACATTTAATATGGAATATAAATAAAATTCCTTCACTTTATACGTCCTGGTTATTGGCCAAGGAAGCCTACTGCACAGAAATACAGAGCCGGTTTGTACATTTTCTTTTGCATAAAATTGATAAAACACATCTTTATCTGCCTTAATTGTGTAACGAGATATGAAATTATGCCCAATATATTTTCTAAATGAACAGCTGGACTTGGAGAAGCTATGAAATCGTATACTAAACAGCAGTTTCAAATTCCAGTACAGCATTTAATAAAGGCAGCTGTCAACATTTTTACAAAACATCTTGAAAATACATTTTTCACAATTTATGGTTTAAAAAAAACATTGGCCATATGAAAAATATTTAACAAGATGAAATGGACATGGGTAGATCAAAAATGTGATTTAAAAAAAAAAAAACTTAAACAAATACATGATTGATCCACGACCAAAACCCATGAAAATTCACAACTGAAAAATAGGCAATTTTTTGTTAAAATTATGTGCAGCTAATTCATTCATTCATCATTATAGGCACGGACTGCAAGTCACTGGGGCAGCATGAATCGGTGTTTGTGGTCCATTCTGTCTGCATGCCGGGGGGGGGGGGAGGCCTCGTGGTCACGGACATGGATCGCTTCCAGTAAAAATAAACACCCATCAAGGCTGTCCTTTGACTGTGTGCTCATGCGCTGCAAATACCTAAACAGTCATAATAAACAATAACTTTTTTGATACGTATATATAAACCATGTTAACCAGTTATAAGCAAGAGAACTTATGTATATAAAAAAGAGAATCCACACAGGTTATTTTTCTTGAACACAATTTAATTATTTTTTTGCAGTGTATCAAGCCATACGTTGTGAAGTACTAAAGCGAGAAAAAAATCACCACCTCGTGTCCACAGTGGGTACTAAACACTTAAAAATGCGTCAACGGCATCATCTGCTTTTACAGATTTGCACCGGATCAACAATAAAAAGTTCAAAACAACAGGGCTACAATCAAGCTGGCTCAAACAAATATTGTCGCGAGGAGGGTCAACGATTCAAAGCGCACTTAACACGCCACGGCAGCAAACGACACTTTGATGAAAGCAACGTTATTGATTTTTTACGGCAAATGTCCGGTGTTCGGCCACTGTAAAATAGGCTTATACCACCAAGCGCTCCAACCACCAGATGGCGCAGAAACGCCACAGCAGAGGAGATTTACTGAACAGCCACGGTACATGAACGGCAAGCCCACCCCAAAAGCTGCGGCACACACACATAAGGGATCCATTATAATGCGTCACTTACAATACGGAATGTTTTAGTTTTTTTGTGTGGAACGGACCGAGGGGCTCGCTGTAGCACAATGGGGTGCGGACAAAAGCGTCGAGGTGAACAGAGACAATCCAATGACACGCGGCTCGCCAACGAGTGCATTGTGGCAACGTTTCCCGTGAAGCAGAGTGTGAAATTCGGAGTGCATCTTCCATGGATTTCAATATTTAAACACAGTGTTAGGGTTGTAGTCGCGTTTGTATACTCCATCGATTAAAGTTGAATCGTGTTTTTTTGTTATTTTTTTCTGTTAAATCACACTGATTTGCAATGGTAAACGTCTTACGGTTTTTTTGTTAATCAAATTTGCACGTTTTGGATTTGAGTTGAAAAAAACTGATCCATAAAGAACTACTATAATACACTCGCTATTTACAAATCGACGTGCCAACGTTCAATTCGAGGTTTTGCAGACGTAAGCCCCTGCGCCTGTCACTTTGGTTTGCCCATACTGACATCAGCACGGTCACACGCCTCAAAAAGTACAAAGTTTAAATAACACAAACCTTCACCAGCATAATCATCGTGCGCTTACCTGGTGCCATATCAGTTTCCCGATTGAGATGTACACATTACTCTTTAATGCGATACGTTGCTCCATGAGGTCCTTAATAACGTGTAACCACATCGGTAAACGGACAAGAACAGCATCAACGAGCATCCGCCACAGATGAATCATCATTACGCGCTTATTTTAGCGCGATGACCGGATATAACTTGAGGTAGAGGCACACGAACCAGATTGACTCTCCCCCACACCCCCTGAGATGGGTCTCAATTGCATTAGGGTTGGTCCATAGGCATGGAAATCGATATAGGTTTTACCACTCCAGTTTAGCCAAATCTGTCAGTAACCTTTGACTGTTTTTTTTATCGTGATGCATGGGCATGTAAACATTAATCCGTTAAAATATATTCTAATACTCAAGATACATGCATTGAACCCTGAGGCTAAGTGCACATTACAGGTCTGTGTGCCTTGAGGCTAACAGAGGGAGAATGATTGAGCACACTTCGAGACAAACAATATACATGGTACGGTAAAAACAAAACACAAATTGATTTTTTCATCGAATCATGACCACGATTCATGACAATCCATCGAATAAACAGAGATATTAAGTTACATGCCTGGCGAAACTTACATAGGTCTACTGCACTTCATTAGGTGTAGGTGAGACTACATCTATATTTAAAATGAAGCCTTGATTAAGAATGACTTAAGTGGTGTTGTAATTAATAAGTAGCATCGATTAAGTTGATCGCACCAGTGGAATCAATCGGGTCATCCGACACAGACAAGTGCTCGAGCATGGGAGAGAGGGTCCCCTGTCAACTTTAAGAGGGTGGAAATTGCAAATCATTTCACATGATCTCACTTCCCCACGTGTGAGAATGTCGTTGGAATGATGGCCTCCGCTGTGCCGAGTCCTATGTACAGCAGAGATTTTGATCAATTGACCCACTTTTGGTCAAAAGCCGAATGTAGTGTTAGCGCCGCTGATAAAGGTTTTTTTTTTGGTTACAACGTGCACGAGGCAGACGGGAGAAGTTGCAAAGCATCACGGTGCCAGCAAGGCGGAGTGCAACAAATGGTCGCTCCTTCACGGTGGACTTCGGAGAGCTAACAACAGTCAACGAGGCTCGTGGCTAAGACTTTTAATTTGAGCGGCTCACTCACTTAAAAAGCGGGGGAGGGGGGGTTTAACGCTGCCAAATTACAAAAAATATAAAAGTTACGGGGGGTGGAGTGGGGGGACCTGCTGACTGAGCCACGGTACGTCTTGAAACTTAGTTCCGGGAAAGGAGGGTTCGGCGCAGGAGACTTGCGTTCCTACCCGATCCGGTAAGACACGATGTGCTGCTACAGAGCTTCAATGTCTCCACGGATTCTGTGCAAGAAAACCACTCAAAATTCAGCTATTCATTTCACGTGCTTATTTGCATATATTTCGAATCAAATGCTAAATAATATTAAAAACAACCGACGATAATCATGTTGAGCCCAACTGATAATTATTTCAGTCATTTGAAAACAAATGTGGCCTGTAACTGTTTTGCTGGAGTTTTGCGAAAGAGTTTGAAGCCACTGAGCTTATATTTAGTTCCAGTTGTTATCTACAAAAACATTTAAAACCAAGATTTCAGTCAAGACAACCTCTATTGACTCCTGTTTAAACCAACGTTATTCCAACGCACGCTAATGGTACTACATATATATGCTTTGGATTTATATCGCGTCTAAGTGCAACAGCATCTCAAGTTGCCGCCAAGGTAATTTAAGAGCTTGTCGTGGATGTAAAACTCAAAATAATCAATGACCTGCATAGAACCGCAACGTATCTCCGATGAGATTCAACGCGCGCGCGGCACTTTGAAAACGCAAACGGGAGATTGCATGCCCCATGTGGTTTGCCAGTCTTCTGATTTATCCTATCAAGGTCAATCTTGGTTTCAAAAGTTTCTCCGGTAACAAGGCCTCCGAGCATGTATTCGTTAAGGAAATCCATATTAGCGAACAAGCCAAGCGTATGTATAAATGAAACGAGGATCTCCCGTCGTCACTGAGCATGCCGCCCCGCACAAAGCGGGGGTGGCGCCATCTCAAAATGGAGCCTTGCATGTTATTCCATACCAGCAAGACGGGGGGGTGGGGTTTTGTACGATAGAAGCATGCATGCGGTGCAGGTATTAAATCACAACGGGCAGAATAACGGTTATATTACAGCATTTAAGAATGAGTGCTCAACTGTTCAAAATAACAAGGGTGTGTGTGCACGGATGCATCAACTTTGCGAGTACATTGTCCAACATGGAGGCATTGATACCGGATTTTGCACAAACCCCCCTTTGGACCCGCACCCAAAGAAGGAATTACTGTCAAAGTTCAACTTACTGCTATGTATAACTTACAGGTCGCACATGATGATTGCAGTTTTTTTTACTGGTGGAATGAGTAAGGTCTTGCAGGTACAGATGGAGGCCTCCTGGATGATACAAAGGAAAGAATTACTACGTGAATGTCACACGCACACCACAACAAAGGCTACATAAACAAAGATCCAAGTATTGATCTCACAAGTTTGTTGCTAACCCACTGCACCATTTTAATTTTAAACGCGCACACAATTATAGCTTGACCGTTTAACTCCCAAATGGAACGAATAGACTGTACGCATGCATTTCGAGCGGTACGTTCCACATAAAAAAAAACTGACATGCACTGCGACGCAGCGAGACAGGAAATTGTTGGCTTAGGGGAAATGACGCTAGCCTTTAACCTATGATACTCCAGAAAAAAGCAAGCAAGCACACGCTGAATAGGGGACAAACAGCACTTTATTACAGCAAGTTATTGCAACAATTTGGAGCAGGACAACGGGCTACAGACTATAAGCTAGCGATACAGTACTCACATACGACTCTTATGCTTACATCGGCCTACTTAAACATTGCGTGATCGATTTACAGTGCCAATTACATTGCACACAAAACTAAACTTTGCACTGAAATGTCAGAGGGAGTTAGCATGACCAAGGTCATTACAAGAGTTTACATTCGTAGAACACAAGTCTCTCAACGGGTTCGTCAACACAACACAAACTTTAGGTCGGGACATTTTTATATTCTTATAAACGAACCACTGCACACAGCCCCCCCACGAAGTTGCATAACAGTGGGACAGGCAGGTTACGAGTTTCACCAGCTGACAATATGAATCACAAGGCAATGGTAATCATATTTTGCAACTGATAATTTCACCTTTTATTACCGGTCATGATTAGCCATTTAAAATCGTCAGGATAAAATATGAGACGTGACACTGAAACAACTACAAGTCTGTGTACATTCCCTTAAAACATAACGACCGTAATCATGGATAGATTTTCTACATTTTTTGCCAGTGATTGAATGTCAATTCGAATAATGGACGTTGAAAGTATAATTGAAATCAAAATGAAATAAGAAAACAATTAAGTACATTTTATTCACTCACCTTTGCATAACATTTGCTTATATTTGTCATTTTGTTAATAGCTGTATTATGAGCAACAGTTAACTAATACCTTACCTTCTTCAATGTAGACATTCAAAAACTACTGAATTCATAATAAGAGCAATATTTAATTCCGTCTATTTACCCATAAAAGCCTACTGAGTCTTACGATTCTCTTACAGGAAGGTATTCTGCACTGGGACGTTTGGCCAAATCCATTAATGAGCGTTTGGCTTCATGTGGGAAGAAACTGGAGAACCTGAAGGAAACCTACCACACAAACGGGGGGGGGGTGGGGACGACACTCAGCATCGCCATCTCCTGGCCACATCTCACCCCCCCCCCCCACAACGCTTGGCCAACTATGGGGCGGTCAACCATCTATACACAAATAAGCAGGGCTCAAACCCTAAGCTTCGGAGATCTGATGAGATTGGGCATATTCGTAGGGGGATTTCAAGCGAATTTCTTTTAAAATTTGACATGGGAACAAGGATGAAAGGACTTGCTTATCACGTGTTCAAATTACTGAATTGTTTTGGCATGGGTAGATATTAAACCTGTACGTTTAATAATGCATATATATAATCGTGACTTAAAGCTTTTGTGACTGCAGAATTTAATATTCTTTGGGTCTTTTGGTAAAGTCACATAGACAGGTACCAATTAATAAAATTGATTAAAAAAATTATATAAAATAAACAAAAAAACTACGACGTTTCGATCACAACACAAGCGATCGTCATCAGAAGGAAAGAAGCGATCGCTTGTGTTGTGATCAAAACTTCGTAGTTTTTTTGTTTATTTTATATTTATTATTTTTATTTACCAAAAGACCCAAATAACTTACATAATTGTGTTGCTTATTATAGTAAAAAAAAAAACATTGCGGCATGAACTTCAATTACGCTCACAATATGGGAATGGTAGGCCGTGTTACACTCAAACTATGAATGGTTTGCTCTGGGTCAATTTATATCAGAACTTTACTATATTGCAGTTTGCAATAAGGAATGTTGACATCAAGACAAACAGGACTCAAACCACACTTCCAACATGCGACGGTACCATGCATGCACACAGACAGGATACACTCACTTACCACAGCTATAACAATTTCACCACAAAGCACTTAAATCTTGGCGTACACAATGTCTATTGCATACATTGTGTAGGCCGATAGAACAAACGCAAAGCGTTACCGCACAGCACTGAAGGAGGTTGCAATAAGACACAAAAGCACACGTACGTACGTACATTCATTGCGAGTTGTGTTAATTTGGAAGCAAAACGGATGCCAGTCAGCTCACCAGACAAGTCAAACGAGCAAGACGCTAGCATGACTTCTCATGTTATCTTTTCAAGCCAATTTAACACGAACAAAGAACATTAAGAGTGCTGGAGTTTAGATTTCAGTAACACAGGACCTACAGTTTCGTGCCTGCAAAACTACAGGAAGAGAGCCCACTAAAAAAGTATTAATCATAACCAATTAAGCTAAAATAAAATGAATCAAATGAGAATGTTATACAGGGGTATTTATTATAATTCGAATGGCTAAGTCTCCATACAATTGCCATCAACTTTGACAGAGCCGTTTCACCGAAAGCTCCATGCGTACGTTTAGCGTGCGAGTTAAACTTAGTTTACCATTAGCGAGCCGGTAAGCAAGCACTGCGTGACATTGAAACGCTCTCAGCTGTAGGCCAGGGCATTGTACTAACCTACTTGAAGCAGCCTTTGTGTCTTTACATTTGTGCTCCACATAACGGCCTTGATGCATCAAAGCTTTGCAAACATCTGTGTTCACTACGCATGCACGCGTACTTGCGGTATGCAAAGTTAACCCGCTTTGATGAAGTCACAACTATCGGTGAGGATAATCTTGTCATTGTGCTCAAAGCACACACACCATTAAGGAATATATATTTATCCCAATAACGGTTAGCTGCTGCGAATTCCTGTTGCCTCCAGCTGCACATTTTAAACATTGTGCAAGTGGAAATAGTTTTATTTTCTACTTAACTTAAAATCCCAGCCACCTACGTTACTTTTCAAAGCTTGAAATGGTTGACAATTGTAGTGGTGGTGGTGAGGAGTTCCAGAAATATGCCTTATTATTAGTACTGTGTGGGCTCTTTCAAAAATGGCAAAGGTTGCTTACCAATAACTAATATTTTGCAGTTACTTAGGCAACGGGAATGTGCTATAGGAAAATTGGAAACGTGTTACGAGCGGCACGCGCAGGCGCACACACACGCACGCGCCACCAAAAGCTCGCAGGGGGGCTACGTTAGACTTGGAAGGGTACACGCGTGCACATACACACACCCCACACAAACACTCCGACACACGCTTTTGCCGAGGGCATAATCTACTTCACGAAGGGAGCCGCGAGCTGAAGGCTGTTTTGTACGCAAGACCACACAGCAGCGGTGATGGTGGCGACGAGAGGCAGAGCTCAGTCGAGAAGACTGGAATCTGGGCGAATCATGGTCGGGCGAGTGGGAGAGGGCGGAGGGCGTCTGCTGCTCGACCAAGTGGCCAGCGCGGCACATTCACACAAGGGGGGGAAGGGAGGAAGGGATGTGTGCGTGAGCGAGAGACGATGATGGGGGAGAAATAAGGGAGCCAGAAGCGAAGGGTTGAAAGAGAAAACAAAAAGACGAGGTGGTTAGCACAGGACTCAGGGATGAGATCAAACGTGTCGCAAAAATAGCGAGGAAACCGAAGCCTTTGCTGGTATTTGTTTAAACAGAGGGCATTTTATTCACACACACACACACACTGCAGACTGTTATGATATATTTTGTTAGCTGAAACGCATTATGATTAAAATGCTGGGAAATCAGCTGGCTGCTGAAAATTCAGTCGACAAGCAGCCACACGCTGGCATTTTTAGGTCATAATAATAAAGCGGACGGAGAATAAATCCTTCCTAAACCACTCCAAGCGCGAGGTTAGTTTGAAGCAGAATGTGACAGTGCAAGCAACCCGCGGCTGCATGCGACAGATGGAAGGTGGCGGGGCTACTTGGACAGCTAAAACATTCCGTTGGGGAGCAAACATGAGACGCAGCCTCACAAATTACATCAACCATTCTCTTTGGGGTGTCTGCAATCCAAATATGAGTTTATTGCCACTTTATGGAATAAAGCTTGTAGTGTTACAAATGGTGTGGGTGTACAATAGGCAACGCAGAGTACGAGGAGGAAACAGAAGATAGCCATGTCATGCCTTAACACCGGGTGCGATTACTGTACACAGCGCTTACAAAACTGGAAGAAAAAAAACAACATGGGTTGGCGCTCAACAAATATACATCCACGACCAGACGGGCAGCCATGGGTCGATTTAAATTTCACCAATTAAAGCCAAACACCGAGATAAACAGAAACGAGAAATATTCTTATATGATCGTGGAATGTACTAAACCAAGCCAAATCATAAAATGCATACTTACCTTATTAAGCTTTATACACAGCAAGCAAAAACTTGTTTTTGTCATTTTGAAATTGACTAAGCTATGTCCTCCTTTACTAGAACACCCATGTCTTATTTTACTTGATTTAATTAAACAAAATGTCTATATTATCTTGTGGCAATTATAAAATGTCCAACAACTCCTGGCCCTTATTGTTTTTGTTTGTTCATGGCTTAACTATAAAGCTGCACAAATCACATATTTTAAATATATATACTGTATACACATATGTATAATTCACACATTTTCAAGTTGCGCTGGGGTAGCCAACCAATTAAACTTTGGAATAAATCCTAGGCACGTGAGCCCATCCACATGAGCTCACTTCCCTTGAACGCCAACTTGCACATAAACATGCAGCTGAAAGTTAACCAGAATTGAGTATAAACTCCCGATTAACCCTATCCAATAAGGCAACACCGAAGCAGCACTTGCTTAAAGTGGTTCTCACACACTAGATATACAATCACAGCCGTTAATTGCCAATGTGCCAATAGCTGTAAATCTAAACGTACCGACGATCTTAAGCGCAAACATAAAAAAAAGCTCAACTATAGTAACTTGCAAGATAATATAGAATTAATAATTATAGTGGATTTTTAGTTGCAGAAAAGTATCGTAGCGAACTTAATGATATTTTTCCCACTCTAATATATATATTTTTTGACAGAAAGTCCAGCTTCCAGAAGCCACTGATGAAAGGATGGTAAGTGCAAACATATTTGCTTTTCAAAACACTCCAGGAGTGGTGGTACTAATGCCATCAGTAACCTTGACGAGCGCTAGACCTGCTCCACCGCAAGCGAGCGTGCATTCAGAAAATACCCTGCACACTCCAGCCACTCGGGGGTCATTAACTGGACTCTACGTTGGAAGTAGCTCATTGCACATAGGCACAGTTTACTCAGATGTATTTTAATAAATTATATGAACAAGCTGTAGTGGAGGGCCTACCGGCTCACCTTTGTTTTACAGTACATGTACAGCCCTTCATAGTCAATCCACTGCCGGCAGAATGCCTTTTCCACTCAGTGCATTTCATGGCGGTTACTTAACCATACTTGACCACGCTGGTCAGTGCGGGTTGGTGAAGTCGGGGTGAGCTTAGCCGTGAGAGTACAGCACAGGACAACAATGGAACTTGCTGCACTGAACTCGTCTGCCTGCAACGTTTAATGGTACATCACAGAGGAATTGTTTTAAAAAACACACATTTACGGTGCACCTGTGCGCGCGTGCGTGTGTGCGATTAGCTACACCAACTGCCCACTTATGGAACAAATCAATCGGTAAGCTATAAGGCAGTGCTAATCCAAGAAAGGCAACGCAACTTGGCTGCGCATCAAATAAAAATGGGCACAATGTGGTGCCCAGGCGCCCCCCGGGTGACTGTCACCAACGCGGCCTCGACGGCGACGTGCGCTTTGCGGGATTTACGCCGATGGAAATCGGTAACGGGTGCCACTTGCGAAGGGAGCGATGAGAGGGGGGGGCGGCGGTGGTGCGTTCTTGGTTGCGAGCGGCGATCGCGCGAGTCTAGAAATCGATGAGGTTTTGCCCGCTGGGGGGCAGGTATGGCGGACGGCGGGGCACGGCAGGGGGAGGGCGGGTGGTGCCAGGAGGGGGCACGTTCGGGGGAGGGCGGATGATGGTGGGTTGGCTCTGATTCGGACCAGAGCTTGCAGAGGGAGGGAAGGAGGAACTAAAAACAGCCGGGGGGGGGGGAAGAAAAAAAAAACACGCGCACCACACACATACGCACGCACGTACGTACATACGTAAGGACATGCGCATGCAAAAAAATGGAAGATGGGTAAAGAGCTCAATAAACCCCCAAAAAATTCAAACCTCAAAAACAACCATGACGACCAGCAACCACAATGACTTGTGAAAGAAGTCACTAAGGAATGAGGCACACATCGAGTTTCAAACAGTTACAGACTGGAGTTACAATCAACTGACGAAACAATGATATTAATATGCAGAACTTATTCCGATGACATCTACCAATAGGATACTTTTGTTTGGCACAACCCCGAGGTGCACCTGGAAGAAATGTTGAATTCTTTACTTCAGTTTTACAGTTTGCTCCTTTTGAATATGTCAAATCTTGAACTTTACAATGAAAGTTCAGGAAAAATTGTGAATAATACCAGAGACGGCTCACAGAATATTTAAAAAATAGAAATATTTCTTGTTTACTCTTCAACTGGTTAGTGACAACGGAGCTGTGGCGAGGCAAACAACGGGGTTGGGAAAGTGAGATTCAGTTTGCCCTTGAATGGTTTTCAGTTAACCTTGTGAATGAGTTGCAACGTTAAAAGGTTTAATTAATAAAAGTGGCTTAAGTGTTATTTATTGTGCTGGATTAGCATGGATAACATTGTTTTTTATGCGTGGCTTCCCAGTGAATGTCAAAGCCTACGCTACAAAGCACGCTAGACGATTTGTGTTGCAGGATTAATGTACACATTCACAAACACCGAAAAACACACGCACAAAGTGGAACGTTAGGGCTCAAGGGTTAGAGGCAGTAAGCTCAAGCAGAAAAAGTTGTGATTTTTTTTTGTCCAAAGGAAAGGGCTTCTCAAGATGGATGATGAATTTGTTATTTAGTTTGTTAAAAGCGAGTAATTGTATAGCGAAGTATCCTGGATTTCTACTGATACAAACCACTACCAACAATAAGGTCAAGTTAAAAATGGTATGCTAAACTAATTTGCTGACAATATTAGTACACACACATTGACAGCACAAAAAACACAAACGGAAAGTACAAACTACAGAATAAAGTAAACAAGGAAGCCAAGTACGGCACACACACAATCTCTTCTATAAGCATAACTTTGTCAACAAGGAGGCCAAAGTAGTTTAAAATATTTTTGTCGATGACGCACTGTGTTAATGAAGACAATGTTACACCAAATCTCAAGCATTATCAAAATGACCGGCGCGCATCGATCTCACTTGTCGGCAAATGTACACTACACCACTACAAGTTAATACGCCAATTAGCGCGGCATTCTGACACTGTAAAACACAACCTAAGATATTGCCTCTTCAAAAAAGCTTTAATAACCGCTGTTGGACAGGACTGGACAAGCAAACCTAGGTACGCATCTGCAACAATCGAGCCAATTCCTTTCGAGGGTTGCGTCTCCGTATAAGCGCGAGGCAAGTCAAACGAATGCTCTTCGATGTGTTTTTAGTTCCTCAAGCTGCTCACCCCCCCCCCCCCCCCCAGCACGGGGGAGAGGCAAAACGGACGAGCATCACGTCGAGCGCAAAACGGCGTCAACGACCCCAAAAAGAAAAACACATCAGAGAGCTGTACGCAGGTGCACCTGGCGACAAAAAAAAAACCTCGGTGGCGATTTGACAACCGTAGAAAAGGAGAAACGGGTGACGTACCTGGGCACGCTGGGCGGGGCGCGGTTCGGGCGATTCGGAATCTGCGGGGGTGCGACGAAGGGGTCGCTGCCAGCAGGAGGGTTGAGGGTGCCCGGGCGGTTGGGGATGGGTGGTCCGCCCATCGCCGACGCTGCCGCCATGGGCGGAGGGGGCCCGGCGCCACGGCCGGCTGGACGCGCTTGCGGGAAGTTGGGCGGTCGCCGGATGGGAGTCGGGCTGGGGGGAGGCCTGAATATGTTAACCGAGGCGGCGGCGGGGGGGGAAAGTGGGCAGAAGCGGAGAAAAAAAAGAGAGGGAGGGAGGACGGGTGCCGAAAAAAAGCCAAGCAGATCAGGTGGGCGAGAGGCATCAAAAGATTGGCAGAATTCAGCTGCAAAGCAAAGCGTAGCAAGGAAGTGTGCAACTAATGCGAGGACCAGTGACAAAAAGCCAAGCGAACGGCAGCTGAAAGATAAAGCACATTCAGAAGCGCATCTAAGAAAAGATTTGATGTAAACCACAAGGGGTGTCGTATTATCCAAGTCCTTAATGCCAACTTGATTTTATTAAAAGGACACAAAATGATCCCCCACCGAGTCGCCTCAAACACGCGGATGCAGAGCAAAGTTGATGGGAGTAACTTGCACACAATTCCTCAAGGCACGTCCTGTACACACTGGGTTAACACCGAGCCTAAACATGGTGGCAAACGCTTTAAATGGCCATAACAAAGTGCATCTTTTTTTCCATTTAAACTTTGCTCCGCTCAGAAGCGGAGCAACTTCCCTTCTCGGGTACACGCGCGATTGGCAACGAACGTTGAGGTTGAACTAAAAAGGGTGCGAACCGGGGCTTTACCTGGGCGCCGCGTTGTTCTGCATCCACGTGTCGTCTACGGGCGGCGGCAGCGGAGTGGTTGCGGTGGACATGCTGATGTCGCCGATGATGCTGAGCGCATCCTTCAGGGTGTGGTACATGCGCAGCACCTCGTCGCGCCTCTGAGCCTGCTCCGCCGACTCCTCCATCAGCGAGGTCTGGTCGCTGGACGAGTACAGGTGGGCCAGCAGCTCCGAGTGGATGAAATCCTTCGTCTGCAAGAATGCACGCCGGCGCCATCGTCCGCAAATCAGGTCTCGTCCGAATGATCCGTTAGCTGCAATTAAGTAATTTTTCTTCCTCCAGCCCCGGTTGTGTCGTACCGTGGTCACTGGTCAAAAATCGGAGGCCCGTTCTCCCCATGGTTTGATGTTAAGATCAATTGGTGGGCGAATCTATTACGATAAAAATATTCACCAGCACACCAGCAGAGAAATCACTTCCGAGACGTGAGCTACATCGGGCTCGGCAATACCAAGGCAGCTTTTGCGCACGGTGCTGTAGATTTCTTTACAACCGATAATGATCAGTGTGTGAAATAATTATGTTTATGAGTAAGTGCTTTCTGTTTAAAATATTTAGGAAGGGAGGGAGAAAAAGGTTATAAACATGCGTAATAGTGAATCTTCAGTGTGTTCATACTTGGCACTTTACAGCCCTATGACTCCACTGCTAGATGAAGGAATCCTCCAATGTTGTGTCGATCATGTGGGTTGTTTGACCATACTTCCCCATGAAAAATACTGTTTTATAAATTTATTTTTGCCAATGGAATGCATTTTGTGAATATGGATTTCTCTTTGGAGGAAATTCTTCCCGCATTAAACTAAGTGACATTTTAGACAAAGTATTTAACTGGACCAGCTTTCCAACACATTGAACGTTCATAATTACAATCCATATGTTGTCCATTCCACTTTAGGATGGTAACAATATCATTGCACCGACGATTGTAATATTATTAATATTATTCTGCTTCTTAACCTAGGAAACCAACACCAGACACTTGTGACTCATTTCCAGGAGGGTAAAGTCACGTTTTAAAAAAATAGGCAAGATAACAATGTACTACTGAACAAATTAACAGCAATTCACCGTGTATTCTAAAAACACAAATCTCCCTCAACTATATCTGGGCCAATTTTGATTTAAAGCTTTCGCGACTGCAGGGATTCATATTCTTGGTTCTTTCAGTAAAGTCACGGAGAAAGAAAATAATAAAAATATAAAACAATAAAATTCTCATGACGTTTCGACTACAACACAAGCAATCATCATCAGGTGTGAAATCCACAATCCACAGCAAGAACATTTTCTTGCTGTGGATTTCACACCTGATGATTGCTTGTGTTGCAGTCGAAACGTTGTGAGAATTTTATTGCTTTATATTTTTTTAATTTATTTTATTATTTCCCTTCTACGTGACTTTACCGAAAGAACCAATAATATATATATTTGGGCAGTGCAACAAATTAGGCAGCCAAAAAGTTAACATTTCAGAAGCAAAATCATAACTCTAGACATTGGGTGTAAGTTTGAAGGTAATTATCTAGTTTTAGAAATTAAGAGTTATATATGGAATATGTCAGTGGTGCGGACACACGATAATGAATGTGTCGTCATCCCAGTGTGGATGAAAAAGACATTTTGTCCTCCCCCCGTCAAATAACTTCAAAGGTGGACACATTATTTATGTTTGAATTAGTCCTAATTCGAAATATATACTCGCTGTACTACCCGGCTTCGCCCGGAACTTGGATTCACCACACCCGGCCGCCTTTGTCTCCCCAGTGGTGATGTTCACACAACAGGGACTCGTTTGAGCCTGAGTCGACCTAGGGGAGGCCCAGGACCGGTTCAAATAATCGTCACTGGTGGTGGCCGTGAGCGGGAATCGAACTCGGGTCGCCGGGTTCGTAGCGCAGTGCGCTAACTGCTACACGACAATGCGTTACGCTTCCACACGCGTGGGTGACGTGACAGCTTTGACGTCACAGCTCACTTGCCGTACAAAAAAATATATGCATTATTGAGCTCCGCCCCCCCCCCCCAAAAAGTGTATTTTTATAATGTTTGCATGGTGTACAGTCTGGAAAGTACCCACATGGCAAATTAGCAGTTTGTTGCATGTCGGGAAGTACGCGAAACATTTTGAACAGACACATATTCACAACTTTGCCTTTCATATATATGGAGATATACTAACGATGAACCCACGTGTTTAACAAAAGTGACTGCCACGTACGTCCCAAAATCATGAAACCTACTCATATTTAAATTGTATTCATCAGGCGCTTCCTCGTTCACTCACGTTGTTTATCATGAGGTGCATGATGGTCTTGGGCATGAGGTCTCGGATGTTCTTGCTGACGATGCTCATGTAAGAGTCAACCAGGTTTCGGATGGTCTCCACCTGGCGCTCCAGCTGGGGGTCCATGGAATTCCCAAAGTTGTCTCCGGTAGACTCCTCACTCTCACTCTGCTGTATGAAACAGGGCACAGGAGACTGATTGGAAAGGAAAACAGCAAAGAGGGGCCAGCATCCATTTGTTCCACTTCCAGGTTGTGCACACACAGCAATACAAAAACTCTTTGTTAAACTCTCAACTCCATTTATAAATCGCCTCGCTTTGGCAAAATATCCACAGATAATAAATGATCCTCACGTCTTAATTACATTTTTACTTTTGTGACCATGTAACGGACTCTCACAAATACGGGGAAGAGTTAAAAAACAACACGATGGGTTATTTTTTCAACCATTGAACATTCCAAGAAACTTCATAAACAAAACAAAGAATAAAGGATGCATGAAAAAATATGCTGAAAGAATTACTTCAGCGGGGAAATTAAATAGAAAAAAAACTTTTAAATTTAATATTTTTTGGCACTGTCAAAATCATAATCTATTAAATGGCAATGGAAAGAATGTAGCAAGCTTGCTGCAACCTGGCATGCAACCAAACTTACTTGGTCCTTGCTCCATGAAAGCTGTTTAACACAGAGTTTAGCGTTTTTGATGCAAAAAATAGGGCCATGCGCAGTGTTTACAAGACGTCTTTAGACAAAACAGATGAAATTCCCCAGAGCGCCAGATATGGCCGATAAGTCTTTACAGCCCCATGACACTTTGTGACAAAGAAAAAAATAGAAAAGCATTTTCAATGTCGCAGCAAAGTATGCGACTGCAGGCTGAAAGCGACAGACATTAACCTGAATGAAAGTGCGAAAGCAGAATTTTTTTATGCCATTTGATTAGAAAATGTGCAATGTGAACGAGTTCATATCCAATTGCACACTAACGGTGCAAGACAATGCTTGACGTGGAAATAAGACCAAAAACTGCATCTAGTTTGTAAGCAGTCGCATGGAGAAAAAACCTATTTAATTTATAAAAACCCATAAACAATAGACTATAAAGTGTGTTATATAAAAGTCAAAAAAATGTAAGTTCCACATTTTCTTTCACAAGTTTTCAATACAAATTAAATAACTTCACATTTTATGACATTTCAGAATTTGGATAATGACTTTCTTTGAAACATTTGCCAATAGTATTTATGTTTTCCATTTTGGATAAATAAGACACCATAACAATAATGTTAGTGTACCAACTCAAACAAAATCACTTTGAATGCCGATGTTTTGATAAACATGCTTTCTCACAGCACTACCCTTGACAAGTCATTTTTTTTGCCGTGGAACTACTCATATGCATCAGCAAATGTAGAAATATACTTGGCTCACAGTAAATCCTAATCTGATAGTATGATGTGTCAATTACATTTTTTTTTTTACCATGTGTCAAATCCATTGCAGGATGAAGGCCTATTAAAAATGTTACAACCATTTGTTGATCCACTGCTGGATGAAGGCCACCCATGCATCGCTGTAGGTCACAGGGTTGTTTTCCCATATGTAGACATGGCTTCCCCTATTTATATGTTCAAGGCACATAAATATAGGGAGTGAAGGCCACAGACCACTTCAGATATGACTAACCACGCTTCACCAACGCCGCATGGATATATGCGTGGTGAAGTATGGTCAAACAGCCCCGACATGGGCAGGGGAGGGGGGCTTCATCCATTCAGTGGATTTACAAAGGGCTGGAAGTGGATATAGGCAGTACCTTTTTCACTGACAGAATACAAACGGAAACACACACGGTAACAGTACAGCAATATATCTTGCACAAACGACGAGGCTAACTGTCCGTCAACAAACGTACACGACACATAAGCATATGGCAAAGAGCCTGTGCAGGTTTTGCTTTGGCTGCAAACAACAGCCAATGGATTCCTCCAGTCCAAGTAAAGATTCTGGTAAAAAGATTCTGATAACACTGGCAAGTGCAATTGAACTACTGCACTGCCCATAATTACACTATTAATTGTTGAAAATTCTACTAATGAGGGACATTTATGTAATGTAAACACAGATATTATCTATCAGTGCATGGTATACAAAAAAACTTTATTATGCATTTCTTTCAATTAAACATTTGCATCATGTGTGTTTGTGTGTGTTAGGCACACATCATACCAATGAAACTGCAGAGGTGATGCGATGGAAATGTCCACTAACGCACTCTTGTGCAAAAAGAGATACAGATCCAATGGGGGAAAAAAATAACAGCAAGCGCAGAAAATGTGGATCTTTTAATAGAAAGGTATGGCAACAGGAAAGCAATAGTTTGCCATCAGGCTTACAAAGCTACCAACCACTGTGTAGACGTGCGAACGGAAAAGTGTACGCACAACTACTTGTTGGACTGTTAATGTGGCTATTTTGTTCTTGAATGTTTGAAAAAAAGCAGGTGTTTTCATTTTACTCTTAATTTAATTCATTTCAAGCTAAAAACTGGGCCAATGTTTGGTTTCTCTTGAAAAAGAAAACCTGCTTTTTGTTTTTTGAGAACGATGATTTAAAACTTTCCACGTACCATTTCAGGGTTTAAATGTGAAGCGCTCTCAACTCGAGTCTCCACATTGTTCTCTCGTGTCATCTTAGATATGGTCCACAGATATTTCACAATACAATTATTAAGAATGAATGAGGGTTATTGGGCAATCGAACCGAGAGAAAAAAAAACAAAACTGACGAGAATGTTTAATTGAAAGTTCTGTTGGAATACTGCACAGGAATGGAAGTCAAGAGCTCATTCAAGCTATGATAATTGTGCCTTTTAGCCATTGTTTGTGTTGGTCGGCACGTTCAGCAGACATCTGGCCTGGATGTTTATACAAGTTGCTGGCAGCGGGCGAGCAGAGCTCTTGTGACGAGCGGTGGCTTCATGCTCCCAAAAGAATGCCGAGCACTTGCAAGCCACATTATAAAGGCCGCAAATCCCACCAAAATGCCTCAATCAGTCACCAAGGCGCTCACGAACCACACAAATTTCCCACGAGCGGGGAACAACATGAGCTCATTAAAAACGTTTCCCCCCACCCACACTCCCCCAATACCGCAAGCACACATTTTTATGGTGGTCAACACACACTCAAAAAAACCAGGCTTGGTAGACCGTAATGTACTTGCTAGTTGATAATGCACTTCAACGTATTTGCAAGGAGAATAAACGAGGGCCGTGTTTCCTATCTTTGTGTGAAGGACGTGCCGCTTTCCTACAGACGTCCCGATTTGCGTGCACAAGTTTAAGATATTAAGTTGCTGATCGTGTCCACGGCTCGTCACGTTTAAAACCGATTTTGTGCGGCCATCTATGCGCGATGCACATAAATAAAGTGCAAGGAGAACATGTTCATTTCTTCAATTTTGAGTCTTGTTTGTCATCCGCGGCTGACTGTAAATACGTCCGTGAATCAGTCCCTCTCCCTCGTGACGCATTACAGCTCGGCGGCAGACAGAACACAACCTGCCTATGAGGGAGACCCCCCTCATAGGAAGGTTGGCCGTCATCCAGTAACAAAAGCCTCCTCACATTACTACAACTCTCAAATTCAGTTGGTGGTCGGCAAATACTTTCAGAACAGAGGGTGGGATTACAACTACCATTAGGTTAAGATGATACAGATTCGATCTATATTCACATTTTTAAAAGTATATATATTCCCAGCTAGTTTATTTTTCCATGCTAAATGAAAAAGGCTCAAATTGCCGAGGAAAAACCCTAGCTTAACACGCAACGAGACTGCTCCTGCTTTAGATAGGAGCCATTACCGCTCCCAAGATTCAAAGATAACCCTTGCCATTTGCACTATTGTGAAGATATCAATCCACTGCTGGATGAGGGACTCTTTAACACACTGCAGTTCATAATAATAATTATAACAAATTACATGTATAAAGCGCCTTTCTACTCGGTATTCAAGGCGCTGTGCGTCGCAGACAAAATAGCATAGGGCAAGGGGTGGAAAATGAAGACAAATAAAAACGAATTGAGAGAATCACAAAAGAGAATAAACACATGTTGAGGCGGGTTTTAAATACCGCCGCCATCTCCGAATCACGAACGACAGTGGGCAAAAGTTAGTTTTTGACCGTACTTCACCACGCTGGTTGGTGAAGGCCAGCGGGCATAAAAGTTGACACACTATAGAGTACGATATTATAATTTTCTGCACTCTCTCTGCTGACAAAGTAGGCCAGCAGCAGCCTACAACATCTGTTCTATGCATGTGGTCACCCATCCAAGCACTACCCTGCCTCAAACCTGCTAAGTTTCCGAGATCTGATGAGATCGGGCACATCAAGTGGTTTGGACACAGGCCCCTTTAACATCTCCGCAATCCAAATGAAGTTGATATGAAGAGTTATTGTCCACTCATAAATAACGTTCTAAATTGGCTCGGAAGGATGTAAATAATATTGGTATAGGCTCATGTACGGCACGCCGCATGAGAAAAGCCACCGCTCCTCATGAGTCAAGAGCTAATCCACAATCTGTACAGATAACAATGTCTTTGGCATAAATTTGATAACAAAACATTAAAAACAAGAGTTGGCCATGCGTGGCCAACAACGCAACATTAAACAGGCAAATGTTTGTGGGAATCGAAAATAATAATTTAAAAATGCACTGTTGAATCGTCACCAAACTACATGGAAACACAATTTGGGTAACTTGACGTGGCTGTTGAAAAAAAGAGGAGAGGGGGGGGGGAAAAGAGGGGGAAGGCGGACGGAAACAGGGGCCATAAAAAGGAGTTTCAAAATAACGCGCGTGTTCATTTCCAGCGTTCTCCCTTCAGATTTTAACGTGCCTCCGTGGGACGCGTGTGTGCGTAAGCATGCAAAGGCGTATGTCATCTATGGTCGCTTACTGTTCTGCGCTCGGGGTAGACTCCGGCACGGAGGAAAGAGGCCTTCCAGCTGTCCACCTCCTCTTGGCCTTCGCAAGCCAGCTCCAGCTGCCGATAATCCTTGTACACATTCCTAAGCGCGACACAAAACGGAGTCACGCGCACGCACGCACGAGAGAGCTGAGAGAGCGGATGATGCGCACCGGCGGAGTGCTCTGCAAATTCAGTTCTGCCGAGCGTTGTCGCGCACACCACACACAAAAACGCATTTGCAAACAAACACACGTGCGAGGAGGAAAGAGTCTGTTGTCATTATTGTAACTATAATGGGCCAATTGCTCAGCCGCCATTTGTCTCACATGAGCTCCCCTGACACTGCACAGCAGAAGGCCAAGCATAAATAAAAGTATTAAAATATACACGACGGCAACACTTGAGGCAGGGGGATACCAAGCCACAATTCCCAACGGTGCGCACACATTTTGGGGCAGGCAGCAGGAGGCCGCTGCGAAGGTGCCTCCCGGGTTGGGTTCAAACTCTGGCTGTGGGGACCCACACTGCTGCTGCAATAGTGTATAGCTGGCAAGAGTCGAATTCGATGCTAACTTGTACTCGTTTCGACAAGACGTTCTCACGGATGAAGACGAGCGACCGCTGGTTAATCGTGATGAATGGTTCCGAGGTAAAGGAAAGTTACTATACGGCACACGCTATTTTTAACAAATTCGTTTTCCCCAACAAGGCATGGATTTGCAGGTCTTCGCGGTAAAAAAAGAACTCAGATGGGACACATGGCATCTTCAATTGACATCCAGGACCGCAAAATCCACCTTTGTTTGTATAATACAGTATAACATCACATACCCGTGCTGGCGTCTCCGCCCGCACCCATTGCTGCTCGTTGTAACTGTAACCTCTGTTGACATTCACAAATCCGACCCTTTTCGCATTCAGCAACGTGTTCTTAACCTCGTCTGCATTTGCACTTCCGCAAGCAGAGCGATGCATTTTTCGCCACATTTTGAGCATTTGCACATATTTTTTTTACCAGTAACCTATTTGCGCATGGTGTATAAAACGTCATTTGACAGAGATAGCCACATATCCGCGTCTCCGGTGAGCCGGAAGCTGCCATGTTGAACTGTATCGCGTATCTTGCGTACAAAATGCTTTGAAAATGGGAGTTGTCTCTTCGGACAAAATCATCGTCTAACCTCTGCTCCGTGTTGAAGATGGCAAATATGTGCTTGCTGGACATGAACCCGCCCTTCTCCATGTCCCTCAGCTGCAGGTTGTCCAGCGGAAGCATGTACTTCTTTTCTTTCTCCTGCGAAACGTACAGCGCATGCCACAAACAGCGTTAATCAAAGCACACACATGACCTAATGTTATTCTTACCAGAAACTGGGGTCTCTTTGTGCTCAAACGGCGTTGGGGTAATGACAGGTCTCATTAACAAAGGGCAGGGCAGGGGAGAGTTGGGGGGGGGGGCAGTGAGGGAACCACAACGTAAGGATGTATCGTGAAGTGCTCAACAATAATTATAACATGAAAACAGACGTGGAGTACAGTGAAACTTTTTTTTTTTCAAATGCACAGCGTAAAAATATGTAATGGTCAGAAAATAACCGTTATGCACGAACACAGAGGTACACAGTGTGTGGTGGCTGTTAAGTTTTACCATAGGGAGACAAAGAAAAACCCAGCTACAATTACCACGATTCTAAAAGTCAAGACGCAATTAGTAGATTTTTTTTGGTGAGGAGGAAAAGGCCGGGAACTCTTAAAAAAAAAATTCGTCAGCCGTTTGAAATGTAGATTCTCGTGTAAAAAAATATATATTCCCGGAGGGAAAGAAATGCCTTCGCCGTGTCTGAGACAAGAGTGGATGGTTATTGTTTAATAAACAACAAAGAGTGAACCACCAGCGGACAACAAATCCAAGCAAGCGGCTATGGGTCCCAGGCTGCCGTAGAGCTGCATTATCCAAACAGTTTGTAACGGCAACATTTTCCATCTGGTTCTGACTCGCCGTTGGGTCGCCTGCCAGCAGCCTACGCTTTCCGGTCTACGTCTGAAAGTCTGTCTTTTTACTCAGTCTTTCTGTACAGTATGCATATAGGTAATGAAATTCACCGGTTGCTAGTTTCATTTTTCACCCCCCCCCCCTCCCGCTTGCAGGCTCTCCTGCGAGACCCCAGCACAATTCCTGCATTAATTGGAACTGTTTAAACCCTTTGTTAAATTGCGATGATTAACACAAACCTATTAAAATATATCGTCTTCGCTTGGCCAGAAAAAGCACGATGGAACGTTCAACAGACTTTAAAAACAAGGTGATCAGGTCTCCATAAACCACGCCTGTAACTGTCAGCTATTTTTTGGGCAATGGTGGAAATTTCCATTTTTTTTTATCTGAGAATTAAGTTGCGAGCAGCCAAAGCTTAACTCTTAAAAGACACCTTTGATATTTTTTTTAAACCACATTACACATTTATAACTCAAAAGAACATTTCTCCTAAGAGGACAGAGAGACACTTAGAGAATCTAAGATTTGCCATGGGTTTTAAAAAGCTCAAGAACTAGAGCCTCAAAAAAAGTACGTGCTACCCGTGGCACTCTGGGGTGGGCAGCAAGAGCGCATGCGCTCGTTTCAAACCAAAAAAAAAGTAGAGAGACACTTGGCCTTGACGATGCCAGCATGTCGTACCCTCTTTTTTCTCTCTCTTCTTATGCACATTTAGTATCTGACACTTTTTTCCATATCTGCCTGGAATTCCTCCTGGTCTGGCCCTCTTCCGGTGGCCAAAAGCCAAGAATCCTTGCCCACATTTCCTGTTTATCTCCACCACCCTCAGACTATCCTCGACAATTTTTTTACTCAACGATGGCGAGTCTAGATGGAAGCGTTATTCACAAATACATTTTTCGTCACCTACGAATGTACGGGTGGCCGTTTGTTAATCCACTATGAGATGAAAGCCTGCCTAACACTGTTGGTCATGGGGATACGTTTTCAACATACTTCACCCCCTCTGGTCAGTGCAAGTTGGTTAAGGGGGAACACACAACTAGTTCGTTAATCACTCCCCACTAGCATCAGTTGTGGCCGGGAATCAAATTCAGGTTGCCAAGTTCATAGGGCAGTGCATTAACAACTGCTCCACTGCTACAACCCCCATTTATACATAAACTATGAAAAAATAAGTAGATACGTGACATTTACATTTAATGAAGACAAAGAAATATATTAGCCGAAAAAAATGTGAGGGTATGAAGTTGAAAATGTATTCGAACACGACAACAATTGAATTATCCAAGTGCAGGCAATAAACAAAATGTCATGATTGCTCTCACAGTGTTATCAATTCCAGTTTGGCTGCTGCAGCTGTGACTGATGAGGGACAAACTAAGTAATGGTCAAGATGCAGCCCTGGAATTACTTGTTCGCACCGCTGCTGGCAGAAAGGACTCTCACGAGAAGCGTAAGACAATCCTTCTGAAGTATATTTTGGCCTACTCTTCCGCGCCAGCCAGACACTCTTGGAAGTGGTGGGGGTGGCTGCACACCACACGCGGGCGAACCCGCCGACCGACTCAATACGGTACAGCCATTTATACCGCTGTGTGGACAGAGACGGGGGGGGGGGGGGGGGGGCGGACTAGGATTTGCTAAAAACTTGCCAGTTAGTCCAGCTGCCGCGCCAGGAGATCGAATTGAACCCGTGACCTCTGGATTGCAAGCCAAGTGTGCCAAACGTTACACCAATGGCAGCATGTCATCAACTAAGCTTATGGACACAAACAACGTTAATGAAACGCATTCCTCCACACTGCGCGTTTCCCCCACACGGAACCTGCACGGAGTGGACTTCTGCAGTTTCTGCAACGATCGCTTTCCCCCTTTCCTCTCATGTGACGGGGGCAAGAAGCCAACAAGTTATGTATCACTTCCTGTGAGTCTGTTTTTCTCTCAGTCTGGCTCTTTCTGCACATGTGACTTCAAATGGGACGCATACACAAACCAGGGGGCCAAATTAAAAGATATTTTAGACAGCCTGCGAGAGCAATGCTCAAAAATTATAACAAAAGCCAAGGTAATGGCATTAAAAGTCCCAAACTACAATGCTAGCGCTGAAACGCAAACTTTTTCATATCCGAGACGCGCCACGACCGTAACTCGACACTCACAAGAGCCGTTAGAAAAACATTCGTCTCATAAGAACTCCAGTATTATTAAGCCCCTTTTCTCAGTTAGAATCACACAAAATATACAATTGCCATTTGATGCATCTTATTGAATCATTTCACTGCAGTGTTAGTTAGATTGTTTATAAAATGCACCTAAAGTAGCTTTCAGACCAACTGCACACTGAAGGTGGCAGCACACGCCACGTAGGCGCAGCTTTATTTACACATTGATACTCTAAAACACTATTTAAAAAAATATCGCATGCTGTGCCATTATAAATTGTAGCAATGTGATGTGTGGATCACGTAACTGCAGTTCTGGTAACCGAGGGTGTTAATCATTCAAACCTCCCTGGCGATTCCATGAAATGTCACGATTCGATTCTAGAATCAATAACTTTTTTTGTTTTAACACTGGTTTACCGTAGCAGCCTCCAGCAGCTGCAGGGGTCATGGGAACCCATTACATACAACGTATATATAAAAAAAAATCACAACTGAAGACCCCCCACAATCCACGTCTCACCGTGGGGGATGTCTGACCCTTCTTCACCGAGCTGGGCTGTGCTGGTGTGCGAAGGGGCACCCAGGACGGGTTCGGACATCGCTCACCAGTGACGTTAGCCGTGGCCGCTAAGCTAAGTCGGGTCACAGGGTTCATGGTGCGTGCTAACCACAGCGCCACCGCTCCACCCACGCGACGTACAAAACCAAAAATAAATCACGCAATTTCGGCACGTGTATCGTGTAAGCTTAAGAATCAATGCACCAGTACATCCCTACACTGATCGCAGTGCCCGTGATACCCCTACAAATGTGCACATGAACAGAGCGCACCAGTACTGGTAAACGTGATCTAAAAAACATCGCCCCAATTTTTTGTACTCGAAGCAAATTCATTGCAAGATTTTTTTTGTGTTATGTGCATAGTAGTAGGAGTAGATAAAAGCAGATGGTTGAGACTAATGACAGAGTGGCAGCCCAATGAGAAAATACGACCAAGAGGACGTCCACTGTGGAGATGGAGCGATGAAACGATCTCATGCAAGAGCCGGATGAATCGTTGCCTTGCAAGAACGTAAGAGATGGCAACGGCTTGCGAAGGGGCCTTCATCCAGTAGTGAATAGATCGAGGTTGATTAAAGTAGTAGTAATAATGAATCCCGAGCATTATATTGCCATTCTCAAACCTTTCCGAGCGCCAGTAATGGGTCAAAATTTGTTTTAAGTTCGACTCGTAACGTTGAATGAATAATTTCTCAGCCTACGGCGGGGAGCAGGCAGTTCTGTGCCCCTGCCTGTCCTCCAAGAAGGAAACCTATAGGAAACGTAAACTTGAAGTAAAAAAAAATCCTCTGGCTCAATTAGGTTATATTATAAACACAACCCGCTCAAAGTTTGAGCAACTCGTACTGATAAAAAGCTGCAGCACAATCACTCAAATAATGGGGCCGACTTTTCCCCCTAATTCTTTACCAACATATCTCTGCTCATTCCAACTACTGCTGTTGGGCTGCAACACAGTCTTGCGTCTTATGAAAGCGCTAAATATGGGGAATATATATATATAATCACATCAAATAAATATACCGGCGACACATTTAATAACCTAATAAAGTGGGGGTGGGATGGGGGAAGGCGTAGGTTTCGAAAGCGCCCGTTAATGTTCTCTTGTGCCAACAGGCATGCTCATAAGCACCAGCTGAGCATAGGATACATTTACGTACGGCATAACTCTCCAAAGCTTTACTTTTTCTGACACATTTTCCACATTTATTTTTAGAGTGTTTGCCCACGGCAGTTCTAAAGGATGTGGAGACATTACAGAATTCCATCTTTCCATGTGGGCGTTACCCTCAGATTGAAATCTTTACTTTACATATAAGGCACTGTCAAAATTAACAAAAATATATATAGTGGGCCACTTATTTTGTACTATATCTTACCGCTAAGCAGCAGGCCACAAGAAAAGCCTCCGCAAGAATCCAGAGTTCAAGACAAGAAACTCGGGACATCTGGAAACCATTACTTGAAAACCTCCTGCCAAGCTCAGCGGTGGCTTGGGCTTGCGAGTTGGGGGGTTTGGTGAGGGGGGGGGTGAGGGGGTGCTGGAGGCCTTCAGTTTACTTCCCTTGTCCCCAGAGATGCTTGAATTGGGGTGGGGGATCATTTGGAGCCTGTGCGTCTTACTATTGGTCATACCGGCGCTGACACATTTCCTGTAAACTGTGAGCAGTTTAACCCATTTTTGTAGATGCTGTGGATTTACCGAGAGGGAAAAGGACACGCATGCAAAATGGAAGGAAAAAGTTTGAAAGCGGTCGACGAGATTAACGTTTGTCTCCGCGTGCCGAGCTAAACATTTTATTTTTTAAGGGTCAGGATTCCATAGGCATGATTTTGCGGGCGCGTGTGTAACATATGGTGGCTCACAAGCAAATGTGTGCGATTCTGCGAGGTGCGGAGCCACAAAGTTAATCTGTAAATTTCTTAATAAAATTTGTCTGAAATAAAAATAGGCGTAAATACGAAATCAAATAATTGACTCAGAGTCCTGGCTTCCTGCACTGTATGCAGGACGAGCATTCCGGGGTAATATACCTTTTTAAAAGGAATTTTAGGAAACTCGAGTACGTCCTGCTAACATATGGAAATAATGGAAAAGCGCAGGGGAGGGGAGGGGGGGGAAATAAGGGGTTAACCACAAAGCAGCATGAACCAATCAGCTGGGCCGTGCCACGTCGTCGCTGCACATCTGCGACTTCACTCGGAGAGTCGTCGGCCATGAGACTTTCCCTCACTCCATCTTAAGACGGACCACCAGCAACCCCGGGTGGCTCGCGAGGAGGAGACGGGAGCGCACGCTGCCCCCGTTTGCGCGGCCCGGTCGGGAGCCCGGGTGCCTCGCGCTCGGGCAGCAGCGAGTGCTCCTTTTGCGCGCTCTTCCCCCAGGTTGGTTGCGACGAAGGCAGCTCGCATTTTCGCCTCTGCTTCTCTTTTGTTGCGCTCGCGCGGATTTCGGTCGTTGGCGCTGCACTTTAAAAGAGATTCACGACGTCTGCTTTTCAGCTTGCGGTAGACGCGAGGACGGGTTTAGCGAACTCTGCATGGTACGGGTATTTGAGCGCTAAATATGCCGCACAATTTACGGAGCTCCGAATGAATTCTAGCCTTTGCGTTTTGTTCAATTTTGTTTTTTCTTGCGGGTTATTTTCTCGTCTTCTTACAGCAGACGCAATGACATTCTGCTTGGTGGCGGTGGAAAAACTATAACGAATTGAAGAGGGCACCAGCGATGAAGACAAGATGAAGAATTGCCGTTCCGTCTCCCCAGTGTTCAGACTACCTGTTCAGGAGGTTAATGTTGTACAGTAGTCTGCACATTGGTTAGACTGAGCACGGCCATTCATCTCAAAAACTATGACTCTGTTGTAAGGAAAATCACTTCACGGATCAGTTTTGTTGTTGTACGATTCCATTGCTCGTTTTCAGTAGATATAGCAACGTCGCAATAATTTCAGTCTTTTTGCAGTTTCGTTGTTAGTAAATGTCAAAATATTTTGGATTCTGTGTTCATGTTGTGAAATCGGCAAAATAAAACCGAGTTAATAACTCAAGTCTGAAAAGTTTATGGTTTGTTTTTTTACAACTAAAAGGTAATGAGGTGTGATTTTACATAACTGCTGAAAAATTACAAGTGATTTTGTCTAGTTGATAACCAAACAGAACTTTTTAAAGTTTGCAAAATTAAACTTTGCTCCAATGACGCAAAGAAGAATGGGCAAAGGGTATTTAAAATCTAGAAGGTATTTTTTTTTATCACAACAACAACAACGCAAAAACCACAAAGGGAGACGTTGATTTTTTTTCTCTCTCAAGTTGCTTTTTCTGAGAGAGGCTGTGGTGGGGGTTAAGGAAACGCACACTCCCAGCCGAACCCTGACCCCCATGGGCATCCCCAACGAAGACCTCCAAACCCAACGCCTGCAGTGTTCTCCTCCACAGCTCATCAACAATGTAGCTCCCCAGTGGGTGCACAAGGCAATTACGAGACCACATATGCTATTCATGAGATAGCTCCATTTTCAAAACGGCTAGTTACTTAACCGCACTCGGGAATGCTTTACGAGTCGCTAAAACAATTGAATGCGTCCACTAGAGTCGTGCTTTTTATTATGAGTTGTGACAAAATAAAAAATATATTTTGAAAATGCCTCATGAAATATGTGATTTTCTTTTTACTTGTTTTCGCAGTATTCATTTTTCGAGATATACTACTCGGTGTACACGCACATTTTCTGATGTTATAAAGTAACGCAAAAAAGGGAAAGTTTTAAGTGTATTCATTTGTGGGGGAAAAAATGTCATGATAAAGCTACGTAACTTAAGAAGAACAAAGGAAAATGACATTAGATAGCTTGGACTGCATGTTTGAAGGAGGAGGGAGCAGATGTTTAACTTCTGCAGCCATCCTTTACTGCCATAGTTATCTATGGGTTTTGTGGATTAACTTTGACAGATTCTCAAGACAAAATGTAAATAAGAGGCATAGTCTCAACAATGGCTATAAATATGGAATCTCTCAATCGCTGCAGCTCACTGTAAAAAAATCAACCTAAATCATGGAAGGAGGAGGAGGGGGGAATAAAATGAGCCATTCTCAGAAGAGTGAGCAGTTTGCTTTTCTTTCTGCTGAACAATTTCCTGTCTTTCCTCCCCCTCTCCCTTTCCTCTCTGCCTCTCTGGCTGGTTCCTCGTGAGGCCTCCGTGCGGGGTGCACTTGGGCTGAACCTCACCACAAATATTGTGCCGTTTATACATTCCTTTCTTCTCACCATGTAACAAAGCACAATTTGTGTGACTTTCAGTGGAAAGATCACAATTTAAAGCGCACAGTCGCCAAAATAAACTGTGCAGAGTCTTCGCGATGGAAAAATCATTGTCTGGTTAACAACTGCTGGTGACCCACCAAAGGTGATGGGAGGTTTTTTTTCTTATTTGTGCTTTTCCAATCCCAAACGACAAACTGGTTTAAATGAAAGGGTTTAAAATTTTAAAAATATCGGGTTTTATCGGAGAGAATTTTAAAAAGATTAAAACAAAGCAGCTGAGATGTATCTGAACGTGCAGACTTGTGATATCAAACCACAAGGGTGAGGTTAGTAATCATTGCGACAACAGGTAAGGAGAGATACAGTACTATAAAACAAAAGAATTACAGCACACTGTAATCATTTGAATTCAATTCACACAACATAATTCTTGAGATAGCCTAAATATATCCTTGCTATAGCGGCATACATTATGAACACTGTAAATTTTAGTCATCCAATAATCCAGGAGCCACCACGCCGCCTCTCACCTGACGAGGACGAACTAGAGCAAGTGATTTCACCACACATCACGCCTGGCCGTGCACTGATAAACGGTAAGCGCGCACTCAGGAAATTGTCATTGTACCCCAGGGTGCATGATTTGAAAGGCACGGGGACAAAGGAACACCTCCGCAATGGCCAAATTTAAATGACCTTTGTGGTGCAGTCCAACCACATCATTTGTGAAATGGTGACAAATCAAAGCAAGCGAGCATCTTCAGCCTGCGTGAATCATGAGATAACCATAATTAGAGATCAATTATGGTTACAAAACTTTCACAAAGGAGTCATGGATGGAAGACTGTACAGCTTGGGGAAAAAAACCCTGAAATGTGGCCAAAGTAACGTATTGTGATAAGCTGTAATATATACACTGTTGTTAATTCTCTGCATTGGTTCCAGGTATTCTGGCTATACAAACTTCCTGTCTCAAAATGCTCTAAAACGGTAATGGTAACAGATCTGTGACACATACTCCAGACACAATTGAACACATTGCAGCAGCAGCAGCACCAACATTAAAATGAATCAACAATTCCACCATCTGTACACACGTTAAATGTTTGCATTTTAGCACAGCCCACACAGCAAACGCTTGTATTTTCTCCACCCCATGAGGGTACTTGAGAAACCTTTATGATGCGCACAGCCAGCATGCTGTGGGGATATACAAACACGTGTGAATGCAACCAAGACTAACATATATAGAGGGTTGGGCATGTGCACGCACGCACGCGCACAAGCACGACACACACGAGTAGGTGCGGAGGAGAACGTACCTCCTCGTCCTTGTACCAGGAGAGACTTTCGGCGGACAGCACAAACCAGTACTCCTTCGAGCCACCTTTCATGATGCCAATGTTGTTAATTGTGAGCCAGCCCTTTCTGATCACCTACAAAGGTTCGCAGGTAAGGGATAAGGACCGTGGGCAAGGAAGGTACAACGGAAAGCATGGCACAACGGTGGCGATGAGTTCCAAAACGATCATCAGCGGCATACACAAATCATGGCGATGTCTGCAGGCAGGGCTGCTCAAGAAGTTCCTGAAGGCCCAGGGTGGGCATGGAGGCCCTGGACAGAATTCCACGAAGGGCGCAATTGTTTATGAGCAACAAAAAAACATTGTTGTTGTTGCGGGGCCCTATTTTGTGAGAGCAAATTCCCGGCCACCCCCACCACCACCCTGTCACCAATCTGGGCGGCCCTGACTACAGGTCCTCCGAGTGACAGCTGTATTTGAATTGTACAGCGATGGGGCATGTCACTCATGAAATACCTTCTTTTAGTAAAACAAAACATTATTTTAACAGCCACGTTTCAATGCAAAAAAATAAGTGATAATTCACTTAGAAAAACACGTAGAACTTGGCAACAATGTCTGATTGTTATGAATTGATGTAAAATGCAGTGGTATAAATGTCTAGTAAACATTAGCATCTGCTAGTGCAATAAAGGGCAATTGCTTCAATAAGTTGCTTTGGATAATTTACCAAGTCCTGTTCTTTTCTCAAATTACCAAACATTTACATTTAATAATGGCCACTTCCTATGCACTACCTAACAGAGAACACTACAATCACGGAATGCACATATTAAAAACACAGTAATGTCGGCAACATAAGCAAATGCCACTGTGCTACATCTGACAATGATCCACGTAGATTTTAATATCATGAAACTATGTTAACTGAAGACTGAACACACACATGTGGAAGCCTTTCTACAACACACAATGCTGAAAACATAACACACACACACACACAATGTCCAAAAAAAGAATGCGGCTCAACCAAAGGTGAACTCAAAACGTGACATCTATACACTCTCCTACGTGTACCCCATTTCAATCGTCATTTATTTATTCATTCATTTGCTTTCACTTTCAGAGTTTGTGATGCCAAGATTGTTTGACCGTTTAACTTGTCAGGGTGTGAGAAATGGCAGGGGAATTGGTGAGGGGGAGGGGGGGATTGGGGCAGTGTTTGGAATTTTCCATTCCAAAAACAAAATAAAAAAAACTTGACCAATCTTACCACTTGCCCCTTCAGGTCATGTGTCCAGTGTTAGCTGGGGACTTGGTTAAGCATGTCTGCTTACTTGCAGATGTTAAACGTTCGACAAAACAACACTCTCCATAAGCGTGACCACTGTGCCCTGCTGCCGAGGCATGGATGAAATCACTGCCCAATCCTGTCTCATATTTATCCACAGTACAAACAGGCAGTCCGTGTAAACGAGCCACAAGTGGTGATGTCGAGTTGACCTGTAATCACATATGTAGTTCATACACACCCCATCTCCAAGGACCTTTGATTGGAGGTGGTGGAAGGGTGGTGGATGAAAATAAAATATATATTTTAAACGTTAATTTACTCAATGAAGAATGCCTATTAGATAATGATAATAACCCCAAGTCTTCATTTGGTTTAGTAAAAAATATATACCTTTGGACAAGACATTGATGTATTGTCTACAATTTGTGATGAAGCAGGGCTAACGTTTTTTATGGTTAGTCTTGTAAGGGCATGCAAAATGAACTTTAATAAACTCAAAGCCTTTTGGTTAGTTGGTTAACGAAAAGCCACTTTTTAGATGGAGGCTGGTTAGTTTCTCATTAATACGCAATAAGACATTTTAAGGCATGAAGTAGGCATGAGCCAGTATAGCCATTTGTACGTCAAAATATTAGAACAATTGTGGGCTTGCGCTGGTTGTTAGAGGGCAGGGAGACAGCCACAGGGCTTTGATACAGCTGTGGTATGCAGGGGGGGGGAGAGAACTGCAATTCGGTCGCCTCTGAGCCTAAATTGGTCCTCTTTATACACTTTCTATAAACGTGGCTTCATCGATCAATGCTCAATCATCCTGGAATCAGCTGTAGCAAAGACGGGAGCCGCTGCGCATAGACTCGGGCTAAACGCAAATTAATAGCGAGGGGGCAGACATTTACAAGCTTTACTTAGCTCATACAATTTGCTCTGGAAGAGAGGGGCGGGCACCCTGCAGCTGGAAAAAGTACAACACGAAAACTGATCATGCCCATTGAGCCCAAGTGACCTCATTGCAAAGGATTATGTAGGGCGTAAGGGGGGAGAGCACACAAAAGGCTTAAGTCAGTTCATTTTTTTGAAGGATTTGCCTGATTAGAGCAGTCAAATTTAGCTGTTTCAAATTACATGCAGTCACAAGAAAGATATAACCAAAGAAAAAAAACGGCAGGCAACATAGTTCTTACTACAACAAATTGAACACGTAGACGCTGTTGACGTACGCACATGAATACATATATCTGTATTTTATGTATGTAGACTGCATCTACAACTACTGAAAAAGCAAAACCTAAATTTTAAAAAAAGTTGTGTGCGTAGAATACATGAAAACATCATCTATTCTACAATTTTGGCAACTGAAAAAAGCAAATACAAATTATATTTCTATACTGTTTGGACGGTGCTTATGCATTTGTATATTTGGCCAAATAAGGCGTCTAACAATGTACACATGCTCCATTGCCTTATGGCTTATGACAATGTAACACTGATCAAAAAGTCAAACGTTTTCATGTTTTACTTAATGTATTCTATTAATATACTTATTGAAAATGTATTAAATAAAACAACTACCCTGTTGAATGATCCATTTAAATATAAAATAAAAAATAGCAACAATTATCATAAGCCGAAATAATGATTACAATGCTATGGCAATGAAATTATGGCGGAGACAATGACTTTTATAAGTGGGGCCCAGATCGGTCTGACTGACCAATCACGAGCAAGCCAGGTTTTGTTTTGTTAGAACACCAACAATAAAATGTGGCCAGGTAGATTGAATGTTCATTTTTTATGGTGTGCATTCGTCACACGTCCAACCTAGCCACTTCCAACATCAGCTGAGGCTAATGTACATGCATTAATGTTGAACTTAAGATCAGTGTTGGCAATGGGAGCACTGTCACCTTGAAATGAAAGGACCTACAGAGAAGCATGCCTTTTAGCGTTAAGTACTCACCATTAGTTCATCCTGACAGCACCATGCACACAGCAAGAATGTAGGTTGATAGCAACCATTGCAAACAACAAAAAATAAGATGAGCAAATTAACAAAAAGATTTTGACCACAGGAAATAGTTTGGCAAACACGGCAAAATCATGCAGTTAAGGGTTCCTTAATCAGCAATGCGATGATCTTCTTGGGGATTTTCTCAACCCCAGTTACCAGAGGTGAAGTGAGCCTTTGTAAAGTGGCTGGGAACACCACGTGTCACTTTGAAGAAATGCCCGCGTGTTAAACAATTGAGCACCCTGTACAAAAAACATGTTATACTCGTTTTGGCCACAGTGTGGCAGTGTGGCATCTGGTAAAGCCTCACAAGTTGCTTATTGGTTTTTTTTTATTTTACCTGCTGTACACCAGTCAATTACCTGATTGCCAGGTGCCTTCTTCTTAGCAACGGGCTGGCTGGTTCGCTGCTGGGCACTGGAGCATAAAAATGGCACCATCAGACAAGAAAATATATCACACAAAACATGCAACAGAATCTTATTTCATACCTACGCGACTTTACCGAAAGAACCAAAGAGTATGTAACAGAATAATACCTCAACGCAGCTGCAGCTCTAACTGTAGTTTAGTCCATCCATTTAAAATTTTGGACAAATTGTCCATGATTTACAATAATAACAAGCAACAGTTAAGAGGTCAGCTGCGATAAAATGTGTCACCGGTTAAATGGAAAAATGTAGGCGTCCATTGCATCTTCACTGTCATGTTGCACCGACTTAAGTCATACACAAAAGCAATATTAAAAAAAATGTGTTTTCATGTTTGTCCCAGTTGTGGCATAGGTATCTCTTATCATGAGACCAAGCAATCATTGTGAACTCTCGCCGAGCCGTACATAACCCCATATTCGAGTGCAACTTTCGGCAGAAAACGACTCTGAACGACTTGAGGTCTCTGAAAGTATCCGGTTGATCCACATACTGAGGCACTCTCTCACATGGCCTGCTACAAATAAATTATCAGTACACGGTGATAATATAGATGTTTTTTTTCTCTTGGGGCTGGAATTTCGCCAGACGAAGTGACGAGTTATTTTGTACAGTCATTGGCTGAGACCGACTCGCTACACTTGAGAACATACTTTAATCACCTGCATTCGAGCCCAGGACCTCAGCGGTGAAAGACGATTACCACCCGGCCACCTTCTCCTCACACATATAACTCTTGGAGATGAACGCAATGAGTCTGGTGACTGAGACAGTGACCAAGGACACTGAAAGGATGTTCTCACTCACTTGGAAAATCCAATGAAATCCTCATGGTTGGTGTTCATGTACGCCAGCTGGATGTCAATTAGAAGCAACACCTGGTTGGGGAAAAATAAATATCATAATTTGTATGCATGTTGAATTTATTTTGCACTATACGTAGCCAACCATGCTAATCGGAGGTGAGGTGGGGAAGTACAACAAACTATACACTAACAGCAGTTGTGAAGAAATTAGTTTTCAATCTATATTTAAAAGTGCATTGCTCCAGTGGCTTCCTAATATCGATAGGAAGAGCATTCCAGACGGCCGCAGAAACGCATCTGAAGGCGTGCGATGCAGTTACCATCTTTGTTCGATAGCTCGGCAAAAGTCGCTGCGAGAAATACATCAGTGGATTGACAAAAGGGCTGTATGAAACTTTTTTTCTAGTATAATTCGCATGTTATTTTATAACAGGACACAGGCCTTAACATCAAAGCTATTATGGTACAAGTCGCTTGTTAAAGATGATTGTCGGTGGCTGGCGAGTCATACAATGCTCACATTCCAACGTTAATTATAAAAGCACCCATCCTTGTGCCCGAGAATATTTTAGGCACACTTAGGCACCCCATATCTCACAGTGTAAAATAAATAACTGCTACTGCGATCAAGAAGATAGAATAACCACGAGCCCACAACATTGCGTGTCATGGTGTAATATAGTGTACGTAACTTTCTTTCCATTTTGACATGGAATGAGAATGAAGGCATCTACGAGACCCCAATGTTGAATAAAGTCAGCGATGCGAGACATGACAATTTCTACAATAAAGTCAAAATTGCTTGGCTTTCTAACAATTTAACTTGAAACAATGCTACTTCGTTGGTCCAAATAGAAAACAAAAACCTTCTACTTACAATTATCATGTTCCATTTTTCTGCGATTTCAATTCTACAGCAATAAGTGCACAAGCTTTCTAAAACAATGATCACTCTCCCATGCTCATTCGAGCAAAAAGTCAAGTACACGAGTGCATGCGGTTTACAAATAATAGTGGATTAATTTTAGCCCACGTCTTCAACGTTATAACAAGCAGTACAGGGCCTGTACTAGAGTTACCTGGTCCTTGGTACGCCCCTCCCGCTCGCGGATGTACGTTGTCACTATCCGGTCTGTGTCGTCACGCAGCCTGGGGTAGCTGCCCAACTACGCGGGCAACACAGAAAGGGGGGGGAGACACTGCAGTACCAGGTAGAGCAGTGCAAATCTGCAGTATGTTTCGAATATTAAAAAGTGTCTGTTCACAACTTCTCTAAAGTGGCACCAGAATATTAAGTAGGCATGTAATGACTCAACTGCACAGCCAAAGCAGTTGAATGAACTGTCACAATCAAACATAGCGATTCAAATTTAAAGATCAGTTTGTGTAAATTTGCCACCTTAATTTTGCGGGGTTTTTTTGTGTCCTGTTTAATTTGTAAGTGTTGTAACCCACACCCCCGCTCCCGAGCATAAATGAAACACCAGCATAGCGTTTGTATGAATTGTATATAATCAATTGTGCATGGATGTATGGTGAATAGTGAATTTTTACATGCCTACACAAAATATTTTAGCCATTTTACATTACCAAAAGATTCAGATTATATAATACATTACTGTTTGAAGCCTTATGCCAACCAACCATGCCATCAGGTAGCGTTTGTGCCATTTCCCATGCATGTGTTATCAAAAAAATCAGGCAAACACAAGCAGTTTTAGTTCCATGCATGAGATCTGAATAAATTAGTCACTCGGCAATGAGAAACAAAGAGCAGAGGACAAAGCAATCGTGAAGAAACTCAACAGAAGATCACTCTAAAGAATATACCATATTTTACACATCAGCACCGCCGAAAAAATTTAACAAATATGATTTTTTATTAAATTAAAAAGTCCGTTAAAAGTTTTCGAAGACTAATTTAGATGACTATTGCCCTCCGTTAACATATCTTGGAGGCGGAAAACAAGTGTTTCGATGAATAATTATGCAAACGTTCCAAAACCAATTGGAAGAACAAAAAACAAAAAGACTCTAAACAAAAAAACATAACCGTGAGCTAAACAGCTTCAATTGAACACTTATGAGAGCAAGAGAGAGGTGGACTTCAAGTGTCAGATTAAAGAGAGAGTGGGGGGTTGTGTTTCACGGTCAAACCACAGTAGCTCCCAATGGGCACTGCGAGTTACCTTTTCGCTGCACTTTCTGATCACAGTGGTGAGTTCACCCACCACCAAGTCTACACATTTCAGGCAGGGTTCCTTCAGCTTTTGGATCTGCTTTTTCACTATGGCTTCAAAGGCAAGGTCAGGGGTGAAAAGTCCCGTTCTATAGCACAGCATGGGTTTGGGGGGGGGGGGGAGGTAATGTTCAGGCAGAAATTCGAAAAGAGATGCAAGGTAGCGGTGGGGGTAAGGAAATGTGAGGGGGCAGCAGTGGTGGAGCAAAAGGATGCAAGGTAGAGAAATATTTGTGCGTTGAAGGCATGACATGTTAAATAGGTGACAGATTTTGATTGTATGAAGAAAAGAAAAATAAGAGACAAGGTTGGGAGGGGGGGGTTAAAAAGAAGCATTGCAATGGTAAAGGCAAAAAAAGAGTTGAAAGATAGCTTAAAATAATTTGAGGTTACAGGGCAGGGGTGGGATTGGGAAGTGGGGAGAGATCGATACCAGGTGTTAGTCAACACTTATTTTTGTTCAAACGAGCAATGCTCCATTCAATTGGTTAAGGTACATTCAAAGTGCTAACTCAGCAATATGACTTTTGAAGAACACTGGCATGTTATTCGACACCATTGACAGGCGGCCGGTGGCTTTTGCCGGCCATAAATAAATGTCAATGACGGCGCAGTGCATTTGGTCTCCGGCGAGTTTTCAGGTTGCAGCCGCATATTGTTTGGCGTGTGCGGATTTTTGACTCCACGTGCAATTGCTTTCTCGACGAACAAGTTGCCAGCGCGTGGGAGTGAAACGTCAGACATCGCGCCGAACAACATGCTAACACAACCCAAAAATGCACCGAAAACCTCCACAGTTGGATACAGTGCATTGCTTAGCTAGATGAAAGAATGTCAATTCGTACAGCACATTTACATGCCATCACCACTGAGTGTTCTTTACGGCCACATGTCCCGAGAGGCACGTTAGTACACAATGCACAGCATACATTCTCCTTTTCCACGATGCACCTGCAGAAACATGCCAACTCATGCACAGAGATACACTATTATACGCTGGCTACTCCTCATGCTTTCAGTCTAGAGCTGGCTCACAGCATTATGTACATTGCATGTACTGCGACTCGAAAAAAATATAATTTTGTTGGGTTTTTTGTTTTACTTCTCAAGATTACAAAAGGCGATTTCACAGCATGAGCCCCAATGTTGCTTTAACGCAAACGGTGGCACAGCTTGCACTGTACTCTGTACTGAAAGCCAGGACATCTCAGGATTACAACATCGCTAAGAGGTACGAGATCAATTGCCGGTACTAAATACCTTTTCGGAACATTGTCTAACAGTCACTATCAACTGGCCAATAACCATGTCGACACATTTCAGGCACGGCTCTTTCAGCTTGATGATGAGCTTTTTTACAATGGTTTCGAATGCCAGGTCGGGCGTGAAGATGCCCGTTCTACAAGACAAAACACAAAACACAGCAGGAAGAGGGCAGAAGAACTCAATGCCACACAAACCAATGTGATGGGGGGTCCCAACTGGGTTTTCTCATAGCAACTGCAGTACCAACCAGGCATGAAGGCTTGGACAAAAGCCTGACCCACAACTATATGTCAAAAATGCATGCCGTATGTATACAGCGTCTGGATATGCGGTTGTATTTAGACGCTACATAAATCCAAATTGTACTGTTATTGTCTTATTTAGGGTTGTTTTAATACACCCAAGTGTCTGGTATTGTTATCGTACTGAGCTGATATCTCCTCACCGATCACTGCAACTCTTGAGCGAAAACAATCAAGAAAAGTAAACGGCTCTTGTATTTAAGAAGCCTAACAAAATAGCATTTCAATGAAAACTTACTTTGTTCTAATATTTGTAGATTTTATTGAATAGTATATATTCTGCATTATCAAGCAGAAATAATCGACTGCTGCGGCGTATCTCTATCAACATGAAGCACGTGGTATCATTCACTACGTTTTTTAGGAGAGGTAGATATTACTGGCCTGTACTATATGCTAAGCAACTGAAATCCAATTATTTATACCATTCCATCAACTGTTACCAAATTACTTCAGTGAGAAGCTTCCACACCCTAAGCTGGAGCGATCTGCTCCCAAAACGTCACCATGAAAAACGTGGTATGCCCCCCCCGTTTGCCTCATGAACACAGAACAATGGTCACCTCCAACAGAGAGGAAATTTTAAAAAATATATAACTATCTTAACGGAAATGTGCTCGCTATACCAAAAATAAAGAGATCTCTTCCGGGTTGCTTGCTTGGTCCAGTTAATAAAATGACGCGCGCAAATATATATTTTTTAAATGCACACGATGAGACACCCCACACAGGATGCAAGATGAAATAACATTGCTCTGAATAACATCGTCACTTGCCTGATGCCGTTTATGTTACGGATAGCATAGCTGATCTCTCGGCGCAACTCCTTTTCATCAAACTCCATCTGGAAAAATAAAAACAATGATCAATGTAAACATGTTTTTATAAGCAGCCAGATTGTCATTTTAGTGGAACTTATGATACAGTCATCGCTTTGTAAGAAGGCCAATAAAAGCAGCTATAATGCATGAAAAATTATAGGTTTTTATTATTTTCTTGCAATAAAACAGCTATAAAGATGTTCAACACCGAACAGAAACCTTTTACAAGGAGTCAAGTCTGCATTAACCACACCTACTTTTGATTACCATGCTCGAATAATATTTGCATCGTCTTTGAAACTGATTGGGCTACACCAGAGACAGCCTTCTTGATGGCCTAGTCTCACCAGTGTCAGACCAGAGAACGGCAAAGGATGACCAGTACAAATACAATGCCACACGTATCAGAGCATTTGAGAGCTCGGGGTGACAATGCATATTTTTTTGCACTTTCTGTATGCAGCATGGACGCGTTGTGCTTTTTCTGTAGGATGTTATTGTTTACGTATGTGATGTTCAGATTTGTGTACAATGAATTGTTTAGTTGTATCTTGTAATTGTATTGTTTGTTGCGGTTGAACCCAAATCAAGAGCCGAATGGCTCACAGGGTGAATCCTAATAAATTAAACTGAAACTGAATCGCAGCATGTTTGTTTGCATGTTCACCACAAGCACGTGTGGTTAATGCAGACTTGAATCCTTGCTAAAAAGGTTTCTATTTGGTGTTTGAACATCTTAACACCTGTTTTATTGCCTAAAAGGGTAAAAGCTATTCTTATTTTTCATACTTTTATATTGGCAAAAAGGTCCCATGATGTAGCTATAATGTACACTGTTTAGGATATAAATTAATATTACGTACATTTATTATGTATACTGCATCTATGCATCTTAAGTCTATATATACTGACACCGGTGAAATAATATAAATGCACCTTCTGTTCTGTCATCATGAACAAAAAAATGCAAAATTACAGTTTTAACGAGGACACTCGACAGACATGTCAGATAAACGTTTAATTCGTCAATAGATGCCTGTTTTGTAATCTCGTAGAAAACCAAAACTTACCGATGACAAATCATGTGTTTCTCAGTGAGTGAGAATATTGAAAACACTGGGTTAGAATCCATAAGTATTTTTTTGGGTTAGATCGCGTAAATATATAAATGTGTTCTAAAAACCTGCCACCACCCGACATAGCCAACGAGTGAAGGTTGTCACGTAAACAGAACATGCCAATTAGTCACTAGTACAGCACGCCCGTGTTGAAGAGCCAAGCCATAACATTTACAATCTGAGTATGACATTTCGCCAGTAATTATAACTCGCTTCATCAGGTGTGCTGTACTAGTGATCAATTGGCACGTTTGGTTCTGTTAACATGACAACCCGTACTAGTTGGCTGTGTCAGGTGGTGGCAGGTTTTAACGACATTTAACCCAAAAAAAACCTCTATTATGGATGATATTGGTCACGAAAGCCTACTTGTTAAACTGGGTTAGAATGCCTACATATGAATTTGCAATATTTGTTTTACTTGGGTAGCCTGAGGAATGAATTTAACCGCAGTTCACTTCAAGCCATGGAATTATCTTGGAGCCAAAAGCTTCTTAACTCTGTAAAATGTATAAACAGGTATTTTGAATTTGTTTTAATAGCTTACAATAAAACAGTTTGTAACATTTTCAAATCAAATTACTAGAAATGAAGCTGTACACTGGAACACAGATGTTATTCAAATGCAACAGATTATTAAGCCGTTAGCACACTGCACTTTGAACCCAGTAAACCTACGTTCAATAATTCATAGCCATGGCTAACGTCAGGTGGTAAGTGGAAACTGAATCATTCCTCGGTAGCCCTTCTTCGCCAACTCACACGGACCAGTGTGTTCAAGTATGGAGAACAAAAAATCCACGACAGACATGGACTGAGGAAGCCTTCATCTAGCAGTGGATGGGCGAAGATACAAACGTTATGCATTTAATCTACGGCCACGATGGGTTTCACGGGTTTCACAGGTTTCACAAATGCGTACCAACATTGTAAACAAGCCAAAGGTCAAACTGAGCATTTAATCTATTTTTAAAAAAGCACTCAGATAGATGGCACCGTCGACAGAATTCAGATTGGCCGGCACCGTTGTTTGTGTTCAGGTTGAGTCACCTTGACGAGCTCAAAGGGAAAGCGCTCGTGAAAGATGCGATTGATGCGAGCGCCACCCGACAGCTCCACGGTGTCGATCTGGTCTCCGGAACCCTCGATCCTCTTCTCAAAATCAAAGGCAAACTGCTGCACCATCCTGCAAAGCCACACGACATAACAAAAAAACAACAACAACAAAGCTCACACATCTTCTTGGTTCTTTCGGTAAAGTCATCACGTAGAAGGGAAATCATAAAATAATAAAAATAAAACATAATAAAATAATATTATATAATTCTCGCTGGTTCTTTCGGTAAAGTCATCACGTAGAAGGGAAATAATAAAATAATAAAAATTAAACATAATAAAATAATTCTCACGACGTTTCGGCCACAACGCAAGCAGCCATCCTCAGGTGAAGAACAGGTCTGTCGGAAAGACAGCGTCTGAATGACGCTGTCTTTCCGAAACGTCGTGAGAATTATTTTATAATGTTTTATTTTTATTATTTTACTATTTCCCTTCTACGTGACTTTACCAAAAGAACCAAGAAGATGAATCCCTGCAGTCATGAAAGCTTTAAATCGAAATTTAAAGCTCACACAGTTGCCAACATATATACAGGGTTAACCTGAAACACTTGAACATCTCAAATATAATTGAAACTCCCTGTATCTGAAAATCACTGTATATTAAATGACATTATTTTATTGCTGAGGGGGAACAGAATGGGTTTTTTTCTGTACAAGCACAGACTTGTTTTATTTATTATTTTCAATCAATTTCTGTGCCTTTGAGGTACAAAGCATATTGTGCACAGAAAAACAAACCTTGTACGAGTATTTTGTTCAACTTGAGTATTTTTTTTTCCCAAAAATGTATTGGAATTGTGTGATTGTCATGTTGTTTCGGGGTTAAGAATCAATTATAATCTTGCAGTGGGTCACCCGTGTTAAAGAAGTGTTCATGGAAGCACGACCTCCAGACCAACGTTCACCACATAGCAATCAAACTAATATTTTCTTTTAAGAGCTGCAATTTCACCAAACAAACGAGCAAAAAAACTTACTGGGATGAGTTTTTTTTTTATGCAGCCATTGGCAAGTAGGCTGAGATCATCAACTCAACTAGCCTTGAGAACATGGTTAAACCCAAGGGTGGTCACCCATACTCGAAACGAGGATTTCTTAGCGGTAACCGGCTAAGCATTTGGATCTCTTAAGCCACCAAAGACAACCGCAAAAAACCCATAACTTTTAAAACAAACAAACAAAAAGTACATACAAAAGCAGAAGTTTATCAAAGGAAGGCTTCGGAAATAACAGGGATATGTTTTTAAAGGGTCAACCACACGCTTACTGGAGGAGAGCTTTGGTCTTGCGAGTGGGGTCGTCAGGACGAAAGTTCTTGTATTCCTCCACCTCCTTCTCCATGCTCAGCATCTGGCCCTGCAGCTTGTTCCTTAGCGCAGGCAGTGTGTCACGAATGTGGTTGGTGAGTTGCTGTCAAGAAAAAAACATTCATGAGCAACTAATCGGCAAAAATAGGGCCCGATTAGCATGTCACAGATTCATTATGTTACGGTCAATCTATATACCCCCCAAGGTTATCTTGATCATAAGGACTCAAAGTTGACCAGACTTTGTTGTGCTACAAAGCAGTACTGCAACAACTAAAGTTCAAGCATTAAACGAGGTTTGTAATAGTCATTAAAAAGCCTCTCAACGCAGTTAAAGCAATGCGGTAAATTCTGTGTACCACTATTTGTAGTTTTCATAACATTAAAAATCGTATTTGAAGGTTAACTACCAATATCAAATGTTTACTTTTCCTTGCTTATTGAAGAGAATGTTTTTTTTGTTCCACAACTCGGATTAGCACAGTTGGCTACGTATGGTGCGATAGAAGTTCAACATATTAGGGTGCAACTCCGAATGCGTGTGGGCAAGTGAAGCTTATGTTTTCTGTGATCGCACTCTCAATTTGATACATATGTAGTGACATAAGAAGGGAGGGGCTGCTGGGGGCTCTGGGACCCTGGGCGGGCCAGGCCCTTAAGCCTCTTGGCGCCAGGCGCTGGGTTCCCAGGTGGGTCAGACGCTTAAGCCTCTTGGCGCCAGGCGTTGGGTTCCCAGGTGGCCCAGGCGCTTAAGCCGCTTGGCGCCACCAACGGGGGGGGTTGTGTGTGCTGTGGGATATCTGGGGGTGCACACGGCCCCACCCCTCGTTGGGGACTAGGCATAAAAGGGGAGCTCCCTGGACGATCAGGGCCAGTCGTAGCTCAAGACCCAAGACCCAAGACCTGAGGACCCTGGGACGCTGTGAGAGCCAGTGGTGGGACGCTGTGAGAGCCAGTGGTGGGACTCTGGAACTCCCGACTCTACGACCTTGTGAGGGCGAGTTCCAGAGCGTAGCCAGAGTAGAGTATCTAGGCTGTGTATCTAGGCTGTGTACCTAGGAGTTGTTACAGAGTATCAGAACTGTTGGACTGTTGGAGTGTTGGACTGTTGGAGTGCTGTTACAGAGTAATAAAGAAGTTACCTCTACAAGTGTCTCCGGAACTCATTACACATTTAATTACAAAGTCAACGGCTGAGAATCTCATTCTAATGTTGAAATTTACAGGTTGCTGAGAATCATCTTGTTCTCTGTATACACACTTATAATATAACTCTTTATGTTGATTTGAAGCTTTCTTAACTGCAGGAATCCATACTCTTTGGTTCTTTCGGTAAAGTCACGTAGAAAAATAATAGATCACGACGTTTCGATCGCCACACAAGCGATCATCCTCAGGTGGGATAGAGTATAAATAACTCTGGATTGACTTAAGTGCATTTTTCAACTCCATTGATGCAACCGGAAAATACTTAGGGATTGTATTTAAACTTGCAGTGATTCAGTTTAACAGGCAATTGAATGTAACCAGGTGTGACGTTGAAAAAAAAACTTGAATTTTTAGTGGCACTTGAACAAGAATAATAACCACGATTTATAACGTGCGTCTATTTCACGAATCAAAAGCATTGCATGAATGAGAACTCGGGAGGCTTGGACCCAGAGCTCAAAGTCCCTCGTTTACCGAGATAAGATGGGACGCATTGATCAGGGAACATATGCAAATTTGAGACATTGTAGTGTCTAAGGAAAAGAAAGCGAGCTTCGGTAGGATACATTGCAAGAAGGTTTGATGGCTGATGGACAAGTTTAATGACAGATCGACCAATCGGGCAAGGCAACAGGCCTGAAAGTACAACCAACACGGAGATGGAGCGAGCAATGGTGTTAGCGCATTGCAGGTGGGAGTTGTATTGTGAACATGCTGGGCCATTGGCAGTCGGGTGGGGGTGTGGGTTGTGTAAATAACGTAGGGAGGCCTTCATCCAACAGTAGAAAGAAGAAAGCCGATGATAATGTCATCGCTGAAAGAGGAAACGAGCCATCTTACCTGGTTGAGGGTTTTCTGCAAGTAGGGTGTTCCCATGCGATCAGCCATGTGCCGGTAAGAAGGATGGGATAGAAAGAATTTCCTCTCGGCAGCCATTGCTGCATTGATGTCTTTTCGGCCATCGATATCCTTCTGGCTGCGGTTCACAACTCCAATGTACCCTGCAAATGTAAGAAACGTGTGACAATTGCCAAACCAAAGTTTGAGACACGTATATAAGTTTAACACGTAGGCTTTCGTGACCAATATCATCCATGAGAGGTTTTTTTTCGGTTAGATCGTGTAAATATATGTGTCGTTAAACCCGCCACCACCCGACACAGCCAACACACCAGTGTGCTGTACTAGTGACGAATTGGCATGTTCTGTTTAGGTGACAAACCTTACTAGTTGGCTGTGTCGGATGGTGGCGTGTTTAACAACACATTTATATATTTACGCAATCTAACCCAAAAAAACTATTATAAAGAGCAATTTCCTTGTTACAATAATTCTAAAACATTTCACAATCATGGTTAGACAACACAGACTAGGAGGGCTGTTTTGCAGAGTAGCCTAGCTTTAAGAATAATTTACTTAAATATTATCGATGTACTGCCAACCCAGGACTGGATTGATCAAGGCTGCTGAAGTGCATGTACAACCCTTTTGTCAATCCCCTGCTATAAGAGGGCCTCTCTCCCCACACTATGTGGGTTGTAGGGAGTTTTTTTTTAACCATATTTAACCACGCTGGTCAATGCGGGTTGGTGAAGGCGGAAAGCAGCCGTGGGAGCATTGCAGTACGGTGTAATACTTTGCACTTCCCTTTGCTACCCGCCACGGAGCCTCACAGATACCTATGGCAACCTGGCATGCACGCTATCCAAGCATTATCTAGGCACAACGTTGTTCAGCTTCTTTTATTCACAGATCTCTGTAAACAAGCGGACAAAACCTACCGATCTCAATAAATTCTTATCTGGCCTGAAACAAAGAACATCTATCATTCCATCTGGCTGTGTTTATATATTGCAGGACAGCGAGTGCCAAAAGGGGATTATTTTATAACAAAAATGAGTCACTGTGTGATAACTCCATCCGGCAATAACCTTCCCTTGCTACTGATGTCAATGGTTCTATGACATACACTTTACAGAATGTGTAATTTTTTACCTTGGCTCATTTAAAAAAATGTTTTCCTTAACTTATCCCAATTGTGCTACTGGCAGCATGTCTTGCGATGAAGAATGCATCCATTTGGAACTCTTGGAGCGGTGCTTCCCCTTAGTTAAAAGGGTCCGTTAGAGCAGATTTCACATCTCAAGTGACCACTTATTGATCCTGGGGGTTTTGTACAGTCATTGGTGAAGAGACTGAGACCATTAATGCACAACACTTTGAGAACCCAGTATAATCATTGACAGTTGGCCCGGTTCAAACCCAGGGTCTCAACGGTGCCAGCTAAGTACTCTACCCTCCGAGTCACTCGACCATTTAGGGATTGCGTAATTTGGCAATGATATTCCTGGTAGTTGTTCGATGTAAATAATTAAACCTGTATACGGTGTCTCATTGGAAGGAACATTGCCAGTGCGGCCAGATGAGTGGTGTCACCCATGAATGCACTAAGAGCAGCAAAACAACAGCCAAAGTTGCACTTACCCCGACGAAGTGGCAGGAGTTTGTTCTCCAGAATATCTCGTGCATCTGTGCCATCATCCATTAGATCCAGCTTTGTGATGACGCCAATAGTACGAAGACCTATGACAAAATAAAACGCAACAAGGGCACATTCAGAGTACATCGTAAACTTGCACAGTCTCACTACGGTTTCAGCAACAGTGAGTAGCAATTATTAAAAACAGCCAGCCACCTTGAGGGTCGACTTCCTTGGCGATCTTCAGAGCGTCCGAGTTGGCCAAGTCAGTGTTGGCGGGCGACACAGCCAAAATGAGGCAGTTCTCCTTGGTCACAAACTGCATGAGCATTTCGCGGATCTGGTACTCGATGTCTACCGGCTGATCTCCAACAGGCACCTTGGTCATGCCCGGCAAGTCGATCAGCGTCAGGTTCAGCACTGAATCACACATGGGAAAAGCCAGGATCACCAGGGGAATTTGTAAACAGGTGAGCATTTCATACTTAAACATAAACACGAACCGTTTAGCCTATGCCAATATCATACTAAACTCACCCCTGAAATCATCATATCTCGGAAGATAAGCAGGGATGAGCCTGAACAGTGTTTGAAAGAACGACCATCATGAATGAAAGTTGTTGCTGAAGAGCTACATTCTCAGGATGGAACTGCAGCCAAATCCATCATTCTCCAATGCATATTCACCAATCCATACGGACGAGTGTGATCAGGTACTCAAATAACTCCCTCGCAGTGGATTGATAAAAGGGCTGTACATGTACTTGAACAAGACTCGCAGGGCCAATGGGCTATTGTCTGGTTACAAGTAGACGATTTTACTCGCCCACACAAGCATCTCACATTTTACCACGCACACGTTCACGGCCATCTCCTTCCTTGTAAAAAAAACCCAACGGACTAAATTTTGCATGTGAACAAGACTATTCGCACGCAAAAACACATGCTGTTCTCACACGCGTCTACAGTTCGACGTGTTAACCACCGCCTGCCTCTCCCTCCCCACTGCCAACCAACACGGGATGCAATGTGAATTTAACGCGCTGGCGCTCCCAGATATTGCAATGGGACTGTAACTGCTGACATTGCACTGGCTAACAGTGCGTTTAAACTTGAAATCGTCATTGGATACAGAAATAACATTCTCTTTTCAGATATCAACACTATGGGACCTCCTAACTGCATCTGTGCAACATCTCCTGCACCTGCACCTTGTTTACTCAAGCTTCTGATGCGATCCATATTGCACCCACTGTCTCCCAATACAATCTACGATCAATTTCAATGATTGAACAACACACCATCTTCAGGATCCTCCTTGGAACCGTCCGTCGCTGCCTACCTCTCTCCTCTCATCACCCCAAGGCTTTGTCAACCTTCAATCAGCGGGAGGTCATTATTCCTCCTTTTCTGCTGTCAAATGTCTGAAACAACCTTCCCCCACCTGGTCATCAATACTGCCGACTACCCTGGCCCCATTATAATCCAGACTCAAGTCCTTCCTCTTCCCCTCTGCCTGTGACTATTTTATATTTCTCTTTGATTCTTTCGGTAAAGTCACGTAGGAAGAAAATAAATTAAATAATAGAATACGACGTTTCGATTGCAACACAAGCAATCGTCATCGGGTAGAAAACAAACCTCGTGAACTTAGAAATACATTGCAATACAACACACAGTCGGCTAACACAACAGTCAGCACCTTACCTGATTGATTACATTCTTCCAAAGATTGCTAAATTTGAGAGAGAAACTAAACAGACAGACACACAAGCAGAGAGAGACAACACAGAGAGAGATATACAACATAGACACAAAACTGTGTCTATGTTGTGTGTCTCTCTCTCTGTGTCTCTGTGTTGTCTCTCTGCTTGTGTGTCTGTGTGTGTGTCTGTGTTTTGTCTCTCTCTCAAATTTAGCAATCTTTGGAAGAATGTAATTCAACCAGGTAAGGTGCTAACTGTTGTTTTAGCCAACTCTGTGTTGGATTGCAATGTATTTCTAAGTTCACGAGGTTCGTTTTCTACCTGATGACGATTGCTTATGTTGCAATGGAAACGTCGTATTCTATCATTACATTTATTTTCTTTCTACGCGACTTTACCAAAAGAACCAAAGAGTAATTCCTGCAGTCACGAAAGCTTCAAATCAAGTTTATTTTATATTTATAAATACTGTATATAAATACACACACAGTACACACATGCCTCCTTTACAGTCTCAGGATGCATGTCCTACTATTCACAGAGTGACTTCAGATGCAGATGTTATATGAACCCATAATGCATTGCAACGGTCAAAATAACACTTGAGTATTTCACATGCTTAATCTGGAAAAGTGGAGCGGCAGCACAGTTGTTGCCACACTGTGCTCCTAACCTGGTGACCTTTGCCCAATTCCTGGCGAAGGGGCAACATCAGTACCCTGTAATATCTGAACTAGTGCTGGACACCCCCTCACAACTCGCAATCACAAGTGTCGTAAAGTATGGTGAAACACCTCCCCCCACCCGCCATGCTCAGCATGGCATGGCCAGGCCTTTGTCAAGCAGTGGATTGATAAAGAACTGTTAAATAATCGAGATAACCTAGTGCGGTTCTTTCTGTACGAGGGTGCTGTGCCTTACCGTGCGGGGAGTAGACGCGCAGGTTGATGGGAATCGGTGAGATCCCCTTGTTGCTGCCTGTCAGTCGATCCGTCTCCGCCTCGATCTCCGCTCGAACCTCCTCAAAGTCCGTGAACTTCTTCCCCTTGCAGTGCAGGAACTCGGCATATTCTGGAATCACACGTCAGAGCACTGTTACCGATTGCTCAAAAGCACTGCCAGCGGTCTATAATCAAAGCTATCAGCAATTTGCAAGAGCGAATTCGTGCTCCGTCGCCACTTTGATGTCACTGTCTATGTCACCGTCATTCACATTGCGAAATTCACAGGACACCATTGGTTTATATTTTAAATCATGTAGAGAAATGGGACGGAGTGTTAGTACCTTGATTAGTGTCCACTGTACTATGCATCACATGACTTGAGTTTGATTACCGGCCACAGACAACATCAGCAGGGAGTGAAGAAGTTCTGCACCCTCCCTTCATCATCCTAAACTGACCAGCGTGGTGAAGTATAGTAAAACTACCCCCATGACTGTCACAGAGTGATAAGGCCTTCATCCATCAGTGGACTGACAAACAAGTAAGTTTTAAATCTTGACTTAAAGCTTTCGTGACTGCAGGAATTCATATTATTTGGGTCTTTTGGTAAAGCCACAGAGAAAAACATTATTTGTTCTATCTACGTGGCTTTACCGGAAGACCCAAAAATATTAACCAAGTTTTAATTTAAAGTAAGACTGACATAGAGGGAATATTGTCAAAATAGTATAATTGCTTTCCATTTAATAAGTTCATACACAAGTGGGCCTCCCACACATGGACATACCACTCCTGGGGGAATTTGTAGCCCAGAGGACCCAACCCACAGTGGCGAGGGTGCCACAGTGGCAAGATGTTAACTACCTCGCCTGGTATACAGGCGATTGTGGGTTCATTCCCGACCCTGACACCTGTATATTTGGAGTTTGCATGTTCTCCCAGTGACAGCATGGATCTTTCTCTGGGTCCTCCAGTTTTTACGTCCAGATTAAGAAACATGCGTTTCGAGTATTTGGCTGCTATGCATTTCCACATAAGCCACTTCACCGAGTCATCATTTGTGGCCAGGTCATTTCTGAAAAAGAGTTATATAGTGGGCCTTACCTGATATAATAAAAAATTGTTTATAGTTTAGTTTTAGTGAAACACAAACTGTTCTGTCCCCCCATATCCTCCGACCACAACGTTTTCTGTAAGTGCCAGACATGTGAAAAGCCCCCAAAAAATATGAAAATAAAAATAAGTGCATATACAGTTTGAAAGGAATGGCTGTCAAAGGAAAACATGCCTGGTAGTGTGATCTTCAAAGAGACAGAAAATCAGATCAGTTCATATGCATGAGTGAGATGGATTGTGGTATTGCCAGACGATGAGGGATGGAAAGATAAGTGGAGAGGAATTCTTGCCAGCAGTTAGTAGACCATGAATAAAGATTTGTACATGCAATCTGATCAAAAGTCCTTGTGGTGCTATTCCTCTGCAGATTTTTTGCTGAAGAATACAGCAAAAACATGAATATTGACAAAGGTAAAAAGTCATCAGGTATTATAATTTAAAGGTTAGTTAAAATGTACTCAAGCGATAATACGTATAACAAATGAGCTGTCAATATGTAACTTAGTCTAAAGGTAAAATGAAACAATATTCAACAGGAATGCAAGTAAACTGTGATGTCAGTATGCATCTGACAGTTCTCCCTTTACCTGCTTTACAGAACATCAGCTGCAGGATGAGAGGTCTGCGGGTGACAATTCCAGACCCACGGGGAAGGAAGTCCCTGCAAAATATGAAAAAAATAAAAGATCTTCATGCTGAAATGAACAAAAGATATACTTTTTAAATGAGGCAAGGACATAAATATATGTTTGTGAATAGCACTGATATGTTCATGTTCAGCCCATTTTCAATCCACTGCTGGATGAGAGCCTCCATATACCGTAGGTAGAGCAGTGGTGGGCATCCTGCGGGCTCACGGGCCGCATGCGTCGTGTTGGAACCACTCGTGGTGGCCTGGTCTAAGTTTGTCTAAGGCGATGCGTGGGGTTACAATGAATGCACACGCATGATTTCAAGCTTGCAGCCCACCGAGGTAAAGGAGGGCCGCGCATGTCGCCTACGAACTAGTGTAGGGTTGATAATTGGTTTTTTACCCTTCTATCTGGCAACAAAACTGACACCTTTTTACAAGGAGTCATGTTTGCATAGACCGCAATACCTGCAGTCATAATACAAACAAAAAACATAACTCTGATAATGTGCACTGTCCTTGAAGTTGATTGGTCCACACCCGAGACAGCTTTCCTTAGAGCCTAGTCTCACATGGGTTGGACCATCACTGCCGTAAAGGGTATATGGCAACGTTTCGCCTCGGTGGTCCAGCGCGGTTGGTGAAGGGTGGGGGGGGGAGCAGAGAAGTGAAACAATGGATGTTATTGCACTGTCCTCTACTGCTCACAATGTTCGTCCTGCCCACAGCCTGTGACGCCTTTAATGCACGGTGGTCACCGATCCAACCACTGTCCAAACTGAGTCTGATGTATGTACGTAGAACTTCTTTTGCACCGTATGTATCCCAACCGTGTTAATTGGAGGTGCTGATATGACGAGACTGGGCCCATTTCAGGTGATTTGATCACAGGCACAAATTAAAATTGTGATTTAATTACGTTATTTATAAACAGAGTAATATCCCAACAGGTACCGTTTTTATCTAGAATATATAATGTATATAATGATTTGTTATATAACGCCTTAAAAACGTACAATTTCTCCTTTGTGTGACAACAAAAACACACGACAGGCATCGCACTACAGACGACTTCTCCGTTACTCGGCGTGGAAATTAATTAAATATAGATCACTACAATTATCAGCAACAGTCTTCAATTCCCCTCTTCCACCCAAAGCTGTAGCCCATGTGGCAGGCACACTAGTTAGGACGCAACAATGCTTGAAAGCCACAAGCTGACGGACAATTTCAAAGGTCATTGCTTCAGTGCCAGGCAACGTGTTCAGCTGCTGGCAGTGAAGAATAAAAATCAATATAAGGATGTACACGTTAAATGGTACGCACTTATCAAATTCCAGCAGCATGCGTGTCCTCAGTAACGAACAAGGTCAACAGGGCTTTTGTTCCAAAGTGTGCAAGTGTCACATGAAAAAAAGCAAGATTATATATTCTAAGGGTATTTTTACATTTAATTTGTAAAAAAAAATTTGCATTTATGAGAGCATTCAAAGCCAAAAAACTAACAATGCCAAGAGAATAAGCGTCACGTGAAAAAAATAATGATTATATACACTAAGGATATTTTTACATACTATTTGTAATATATTTTTGTTTAAAACTGCATTCATAAGAGTATTCAAAGCCAAACCTAAAACTGTCAAGAGAACGACGATGGCGTTCAAAGAGAACGAATGCGTGGTGCGTTACTGACGCCTCCGGCAAACACTGTACGCAAACGCTTCGCGTCGGGTTTTTCTCAAAGATCAGGGTGTGTGTGTGTGTGTGCCACAACCGTTTCAACATTCCCCGCTGGCAAAATAGTCAAGGACACCAAACATGTGCAAATCTCACGCAAAAGGTAAAATGCGATTCACGGACAGAGGACTCTTTAAACCATCGCACATGTTGACATCACCTTCATTAACGTTGACTCGCAGTATAATAGATGTGTAATGGTGCCTTGATTTGTCAATATACATTGATTTCCGAGCTCATGTGTGCAATGTACGATTCAATATATCTTTCTATACACAAGTCATACATCGGCGTGGGGAGGGTCCTTCATCCATCAGTGCACTGACAAAGGGCTGTACATCACTATTATAATGATCTCCTATGACCCAGGCAAGCAGCAGCAGCCACAGCATTCACTGCATCATCATCACCACCAACCATGCCCAATCTCATGCTGCTTGTCAGGTATCTTCACTCACCTGCAACCGACCAGTATGGTAGAGTAGGTCCCCTATCTCACAATGGCCACGATAAAAAAATAATGAATCATGACACCCCTACAGAATGATGTGGTAATAAATAATATATAAAGTTGTCTCTTCCTGTTCTTCCCTTTCTCTCCATTTCCTTTTTCTGTAGTTTCCAGATCAAGCCCGAGACAATTATTATTGCTATTATCCTGTTTGTGCTGGTCGTCAAAATGGTGAGCGCTATGTGCTTTTTTGTATGTTGTTTAAATGTAAATACAATCAAATAAGATTTAGGAATGGAAGACAGTGCTGAAATTGACACAAGTGTCTGTATTGATGGATGTATCAATTAAAATCATAGGGTAGCTGGTCACAAGTCTTGTTTTTAACCACACACTGGGAGGTTAACAATGCAGGCCACTTAAATATGACCCTTGTGTTGTTAAGGACATCAGCTTTGCTTGTAACCAACAACTGTTTAAACACTCATGATAGTATCGAAATTTCACTGCAGTATTTAATAAATAGGCAACCCACAGATCAAGTTTAAGAAAAAATAACGACCAATATCTATGACATACTGCTAAATGATTATAAATAATACAGCATTGTTAGTATCTGGAGTTCATACTGAATTTTACTTTGATTAATTCAAATAGGGTCAAGTCTAGTTTTCCAGTTTGCTTTAGGCAAGATTGGTTCATAGAGTTAACAAAGTGCATTACAAAAGTCATGGTTATGGATAAGAAAGCTGGATAAGAAAAACCCACACTAGGGCAATTTTTAAACCAAGGGTGAGCTTAAATCAGAACAATACATGTGTGCGAGTGGAATTGTGCATTAAGGGAGTACAACTGGTGCATCTACCGGTCATCTCAGTCAGCGAACCCATGGCACCTGGGTCTGGTGCTGTGGACCTCCTGTCAGCGAGTTTTCGACACTTCACGTGGCCTCAAAGGGCACCTGGCCTGCCAAAGGCAACGTGGTGACGCCACAGGCGATGTGGTGACGCCACCGTCACTTAGTGGTGAATGGTGGGTGTTGGTATTGGTATTGGCATGTAAATGTGTAAATGTACGACAGCCTTTTGTAAATTCGCTGCTGGGTGAAGGCATCCCCACACCTCTCCAGTGAAGGTTCTCCAAAATCTGTCAAAATGTTGGGATTGTGACCGAACGGATTTATTAATTTTAAATTATTTTCTCACGTGCATTTTTCTCTCGTTATTAGTGTATTCATTTATTTTGCTAAGTAGTGGGTTTTTATTTTTGATCATTCATGTGCGGTGTTGTGGGATGCAAATGCATGAATGAGGCTATATAAAATGCAATTCGTATTATTATTTCTAGATTTTAAGCTTTCGTGACTGCAAGGATTCATATTCTTAGGTTTTTTCTCGTATTATTATCCTGGTTATGGAATTATCTGACCATACTTTACCATAGTGGTCAGTGTAGGTTTTATGAAGGCGTGGAACAATTGTTGGAACACAGTACTGTAACAACAATGGATTTTCTTCACTGTATTTTGTGGCCGAGAACATAGGCCACAGCCTATAACATCTGTTGTGGATGGTCGTCGCACATACATGCGCTGTTCAAGCTCAACTTTGCTTAGCTTCCGAGGTCTTGCACGGACTAGGTGATATATGGCAAAGTCAGAGCTTAATTAGTGAAAATATAAAAGCTCCAACCAGCCTGACTCAATGTTTTTGGGAACTAAACAATTGCGCTTGTCGAAATTTACAAGAAAAAATAGATATCAAACGACAATAAGAGGCTTTGATAAGATTAGGTCTAATGATTTTATGGCAAAGATCAAGAAAGCGGGCTAAAATACTCTTTTATAGACTGAAGAGGATGTTAGCAACAAAAAAGGCCCCAACACTGCATACATACATCGAGATCTGCACTTGTGTGCATAACCATTGTTTAAAAATGCAGGTCCTGAGCGGATCAGTAGGCATGTCTTGAAAAGGAAATGTCCCAGGGGAAATTGCACAATTGCAGGGCACTGGGCCACAGTTCTTTCACATGAGGACAATGGCTGTGTCTGCAAAACCTATTATTTAACGTTGCCCATGCTGCTTTGCAGTGGCACAGATGGCTGAGTGAATGAGGCATGGGAGCCCAGTTGTGGTAACCCACTCAACAAAACGGAATCCCCATCACAATACCAAGCACTGGTGTATAGAAAGCACTGATATTATAATATAGTAGCTGGCGGGTGGTGTGTGTGTTGGGGAGCAGCTGTCAGACCAGAACACATGTTTGAGAGCATGCAAGTGCAGAGGTCAACAGGTGAGGGGGGATATTTACAAGTAAGCAAATTGTAAACAATGCCATTGTGAATACTTTTTGTGTATTAGCTAATAACATGCCACCACAGACATGTCTGATATAAGCCGACACATGACAGATGTGTCAAGAATTCACGAAAAGAACCACCCATGTATACAAGTAATGGGCACTGCTATCTTTCAATGAAGTGTTACAATTTCAATGTGATTACAAACAACATAACACTAGCTTGTGAAGCTATTTTTACATTTTGCCTGATGAAGGATATTAGATTCTTTGGAGGAATGTAAATATGTTTTAGGCATTAAAAGTTAGACTCATAATCTATGTTTTATGGTGAGTATAGAAATCTAAGAGTACTGTATGCCTTAAAAACTCTATGCAATTTGTTTGTACCTCATGGTCACAATGTTTTTTCCTGCCATGATACCTTCATGCCACAAGACCATTGTAAATATTCTTTTTCACACTATTGTTATGTGTTGACGCTTATGCAACATACCTCCATCAACTTTCAAGCTGCTGGTTTACAAAGACTGTTTGGCTTTTGGTTAGACCTTAACTTCCTAACAGGTGGTAAAGCCAGTGTGTAAACGCTACACAATAGTACCTTTCTTATAAAACAAAGTTGTGAAATCTTCAAATACTACAAACAGGTTTCCAAACAAGCGTATGATGCCCACCAAAAGAAAGGGAGTTCAAATGACGCTCAGTCTGTTGCACAGCACCAAGATGGCATTACATTTCAAACTTGAGAACTCAAAGCCACTGGTGAGTGTGCATTCTGATTAAATGGCACGCACAAATGTGAACATTTCACGTGGCATTTGTATTCAGTGGACTTCGTTCAATATACCTGAAGATAGCTCTTAACTGTAAACATCTGCTGTTTATGCTTTGGCCTCTGTCCTGAGCCAGCCACATGACTCACTTACGTCAAAAATAACCTCGCCCCTATCTTATTAATATGAACTGCAAGCAAGCTACTGGAGGAAACTGGAAAAACCACCTAACACTGTACCCTAGGTTTTTTTTTTCTTTTTTGTTGGCGACTATCACAGGAAAAATGTTTTATCGTCACACCGCAAGATTGGAAAGTGCACACTGATTAGTAGACTTCGATTAAATATTGCGCAAACGCCTGTACCACACAGCTGGATGTATCGTGCTTGTAAATTACAAGTGAAAAGTGCATACACCAAATGATCCACCTCATCTTGAGATACATGACATTATAACGATGCAATTTTTAACCTTTTATAAGGATAAAACTCTGGCCAAATCACCCAAAAGACACCCGATCTCATCAAATATCAGAAGCTAAGCAGGGGTGAGTCTGAACAGTGCTTGGATGGGCCAACACCGTGCATGACAGGTTGCTATCAGCTACATGGTTACCGTGGTGGATGTCAGAGGGCAGTGCATTAAATTGTGTTGTTATACTGAACTTCTATGCCGACCCCTACATTCCCTGCCCTCACAGAATCGCACGGACCAGCATGGTGAAGTATGGTTAAATAAGACCCACACGGTGTGCAGACGCCCTCATCCAGCAGTGGATTGACGAAAATACTGTACACGAGGGTATATTGTTGATGTATTAATTTAGAATACCCATAAGGCAATTCAAAAGTAAGCAAACCAAGCATGTGTCAGTTTAAACTATGTTTTAATTTGAGTTCTAGGTATGGGCCAAGTGTGACAATTTGGGTTTTTGTTTGGACTATACTGGGTGTGTGAATGGTGGATCTGGGCACGCATCAAGAAAAGCTGAAGTTCCCAATGAAGCTACATTATTTTACGAATTACAATTAATGATATTTGGGATCTAAATGCAACTGCATATCAAGACACTGTAAAGACAGTGGTATGTCCCTTTGTTGTGAAAGGGAGCCAAGCCAGCCAGCCATACAGTGGGCAAGAAAGGGAAGGTCGTGAATCTGAACTTGAATAGGGGCAGGAAGTCAACACTGAAAACAGCACGGGGCTTCCGGACTACGTGCGTTGACAAGTTTCACGGAAGAAGGAGACGAGGGCGCGAAAGAATAACCCTTACCAGATACAATCTTGACACAACTCTTGAGTTGTAACCCATCATCATCAACACCATCCTCCAATTAAAAGTGTGCGTGTTTTTTTATGACACGCATTTGTCGCGAAAACGTGGGACTGTACGTGGCGTTGACCGTGCTGGAGAATGTCTTTCATGTGCATGTTGGGTGGATCCGCTTTCAAGAAGTGTACATGCTCAGCAAGTTTTTATATATATATAGCTTCGTGTGTAAGTGGGTCACTTCTCAGGTGTATACGTGTAACAATTGACAGCTTTGCCTCTCTGATTCCGTAACCCATCCGGATTCAATTGAGTAATCGATTTTCTTAGTCTCATTTGTGGAGAGTTTACGTGTACCGTGTGCACTACGTCCTGTCTTGTTTGCACTGTGTTCTGGCTGGTGTTTGCCTCTCGTTTTGGTCCGTTTCGTTTGTGCCGTCTCACGTATAACCTTTCCATCCGCATTACCCCCTTCCAGTCTCTGTCGCGTTTGTTCTCGTTTGCACAGTGTTGATTCTGTTTTCTCAGTGCTGTCTGGGCTACACGACTCCATCAAACCGGCATGCAGTGTCTGGTCTAAAGCTACTGTACTGTTTCGTCTGTACTGCATTGTCCGAGGCCAGGCTCTTCTGTACTGCGTCTTGCCTAGTCCGCCTACGAAGTTTATCTCGCTTGTACTGCAATGTCGACCTATTCTGTCGTGTCTCGTCTGTCTTGTCTGTAATATCTATACTGAAAGTGTTGTCTGGAGATAAAGGACTCCTTTGATGTATCTTCGGTACTGTCTACGTCGTCCGTACCGTACGTATCTAAAAATGTAGCGTCCCGTGGAGCTAAAGAGGTCTACATTTTTTATGAGGAAATCGTAGCTGTCAACCCCTTATCAGTGCCTACCTTATTACAGGCCAATTCACACCTTATTAGTCACCCCGTGCCCTTATAAATCTCAACGTTTATCCTACAAAGTCCATTCACAAGGGAGAAACACAAACAAATAGACAAAAATGTCTTGCCCGTATTAAAACGGCTGTACGCCGTATGGGCTTGAACACTCAATTTCCCTGCACAAGAATACGTGGAAATCGGATGAGGTTGACAGGTATTGGGAAATATCCCCTTGTAACACGCACGCTTCGATTATAATCGATTCCCGCTCAACAACAACACGGGGGTGGTGGTTGTGGGTGGCCGAGACAGCTGCATCATCATCATCCATTGTCTCATCCACCGACGAAAGCTTCTCAATGCCCATCACTACCCTCCACCCACCCCTCCTCAACAGCCCAGCGCCACTACCATCCACCTACACCCGATCTTAATTGAATCGCGGCTCCATCTCCACGGTGGTGGCGGTGGCTCCCATCGTGGGGGGGTCCCCCCCATGCAGGCCGCTGCCATTCCACCACCACCACCGCCTTCACATTCCGTAGAGCAGATAAGCATCGCGCGGGCTCCCGATTGGTCGAGGGCGTCGCCCGCAAAATCCACCATCGACGCTTCCGATTGGCTCCCGGCTCGGGCCTTCAAACGCACGCCCGCCAATCAGACGCGAGCTCAGCTCCGATGCGGACTAGGGAATCTGAAATCGTTCGCGCCCGTGTCCCCCCCCACCCCCCTCGCGTCTCTCTCCATCCGTCACACAGCCGATGGAGGGTGAGGAGGGCAAGAGAATTATTACATAAAAAACCACACAAGATCGAGCTCGCTCACCGCCCCACGAAGTTCTCGAGCACCGAGCTCTTGCCCGCGCTCTGCCCTCCCACCACGGCGATCTGCGGCAGGTCGAGGCTGCAGTTCTGGCCGATGGCGGAGAAGGCGTCTTGTAGCTTGTTGACGAGCGGGATGAGGTCCTCCATGCCGCGGTTCCCCATGGCGACGACTTTTGGGCAAGTGATCGACTACCCCCGCCCAACCTTCTCCCTGTGTCGGCGCTCTGTGTGTGTGTGTGGTGTTGGTGGTGGTGTGTTTTTTAGTTTTACGCCGTTAACAAAAAAAAACTTCGCCCGCTCGCTCGCTCGCTCCCCTCAGCGTCCGCTTCCTGATGTCGCACAAATGGCCGTAACCAGGCTGCCGTAAAGCGATGACGGGGGGCGGGGCCTGGGTATCCGCTTCGGGGTGGGCGGGGGATGCGGTTTTGCACCGCCCCCCCTTTTTTACCCCAACGACTTCACGACCTTGTCGTGAAATCGATGACGTCGTCAGCGGCGACCCGTGACTCCGCCCACCTTTGACTCCGCCCCGCTCTGAAGCCACGCCCGTTAAAACAATGTTCATACTTCAAATTGTCTTGCTGTGGATTTCACACCTGATGACGATTGCTTGTGTTGCAGTCGAAACGTCGTGATAATTTTTCTTGTTTTATGTTTTCATTATTTCCCTTCTACGTGACTTTACCGAAAGAACCAAGAATGTGAATCATTGCAGTCGCAAAAGCTTTAAATCTAAATAAAAATATCACGACGTTTCGATCGCAACACAAGTGGTCGTCATCAGGCAAAGGAGTCAGCCTCTAAAGGCAAAAAGGTTTATACTGTAAAGGTTTAGGAGATGGGCGTAGCCCAAGTGCATCAGCAGAACCAGCAGCATGGGCGGGCAGCAATGCCAATGCAGCGACAATGCCAATGCAGCAGCAATGCCAATGCAGCAGCAATGTCAATGCAGCAGCAATGCCAATGCAGCAGCAATGCCAATGTAGCGACAATACCAATGCAGCGACAATGTCAATGCAGCAGCAATGCCAATGCAGCAGCAATGCCAATGTAGCGACAATACCAATGCAGCAGCAATGCCAATGCAGCAGCAATGCCAATGTAGCGACAATACCAATGCAGCGACAATGTCAATGCAGCAGCAATGCCAATGCAGCAGTAATGCCAATGCAGCGACAATGCCAATGCAGCAACAATGCCAATGCAGCAGCAATGCCAATGCAGGCAGCAATGCCAATGCAGCAACAATGCCAATGCAGCAACAATGCCAATGCAGCAGCAATGCCAATGTAGCGACAATACCAATGCAGCAGCAATGCCAATGCAGCGACAATGCCAATGCAGCAGCAATGCCAATGCAGCAGCAATGCCAATGCAGCAGCAATGTCAATGCAGCAGCAATGTCAATGCAGCAGCAATGTCAATGCAGCAGCAATGCCAATGCAGCAGCAATGCCAATGCAGCGACAATGCCAATGCAGCAGCAATGTCAATGCAGCAGCAATGCCAATGTAGCAGCAATGCCAATGTAGCGACAATACCAATGCAGCGACAATGTCAATGCAGCAGCAATGCCAATGCAGCAGTAATGCCAATGCAGCAGCAATGCCAATGTAGCGACAATACCAATGCAGCGACAATGTCAATGCAGCAGCAATGCCAATGCAGCAATAATGCCAATGTAGCGACAATACCAATGCAGCGACAATGTCAATGCAGCAGCAATGCCAATGTAGCAGCAATGCCAATGTAGCGACAATACCAATGCAGCGACAATGCCAATGCAGCAGCAATGCCAATGTAGCAGCAATGCCAATGTAGCGACAATACCAATGCAGCGACAATGTCAATGCAGCAGCAATGCCAATGTAGCAGCAATGCCAATGTAGCAGCAATGCCAATGTAGCGACAATACCAATGCAGCGACAATGTCAATGCAGCAGCAATGCCAATGCAGCAGTAATGCCAATGCAGCAGCAATGTCAATGCAGCAGCAATGCCAATGCAGCGACAATGTCAATGCAGCAGCAATGCCAATGCAGCAGGAATGCCAATGCAGCGACAATGTCAATGCAGCAGCAATGCCAATGCAGCAGCAATTCCAATGCAGCAGCAGTCGCAATGCAGCAGCAATGCCAATGCAGCGACAATGCCAATGCAGCAGCAATGCCAATGCAGCAGCAATGCCAATGCAGCAGCAGTTGCAATGCAGAAGCAATGCCAATGCAGCGACAATGTCAATGCAGCAGCAATGCCAATGCAGCAGCAATGCCAATGCAGCAAAGGGCCGCCAGGAAATCACTGCACCCCGCTCCACACACCAACTTGCTGATTGACAAGAAAACACAAGTCAAATCATGACCCAAAGTGGTTGATGACATCTTTCCAATGATTGCTGAGTCTATCACCTTCCTCTCGGTTGAAATTGTCTCTGTTTATATATGGATGGCTTCATGAACGAATCTTTGTTGTTAGCCATAAATCAATTTCGTGTGAGCCAGATGCATTAAAATAATGGTCAGCCACGGCAGAAGTATTGGTCCAACCGTGTTTCAAATCTGCCTTATGTTCACGAAGACGGTCCAAGACGTGTCGCTTAGTTTCCCCAATGTAACTGTTGCCGCAGACACAGCTTAGTTTGTTGACGCCGGGATATTGCACGTCAGGAATCTTGTCCTTCACAGATGGGATCAGATCACAAATTTGATGTACTGTGTTAAATCGGACCTGGATCTTGTGTTTGTTCATGATTTTGGAAATCTTTTTGGTTACCCCTGCTATGTATGTCAGGGTGATGGTTTTGATTGGATCCTCAGATGGCTCCTTCCTCAAGGTTGGGGTGATGGCTTTCCGGATTTTGTAGTCAGAATATCCATTCGCCTTGAGTGCTTGGTGTACGTGTTTGAGTTCACTGGTTAGGTGTTCATGGTCGGAGATACATTGAGCTCTATGGTGTAGCGTTTTGATGAGGGAATTCTTCTTGGATGGATGGTGGTGGGAATCAGGTTTTAGTTAGGCGTCAGTATGGGTTACTTTCCTGTAGACAGAATGGCTCATTGAGCCATCTGGTCTCTTTTTGATTAGGACATCCCCAAATCTTTATAAACTGTTTGCCTTTGGAGACTGACTCCTTTGCCTGATGATGACCGCTTGTGTTGCGATCGAAACGTCGTGATATGTTTATTTACTTTATTTATATTATTAGTTTTTTTCTATCGACCGGACTTTACCGAAATAATCAAAAAATATTTATACTCTTTGGTTCTTTCGGTAAAGCCACGTAGGTAAATAAATAAGCAATAAAAAGCAGAAAGAAAAAATAAATAATAAATACTATTTCATTCAATCACGACGTTTCGATTGCAACACAAGCAATCATCATCAGGTGTGAAAATCACAGCTAGAAATGTTTTACTAAAGTGATTTTCACACCTGATGATGATTGCTTGTGTTGCAATCGAAACGTCGTGATTTAATTTACTTTTTTTTACCTACGTGACTTTACCGAAAGAAACAAAGAGTATGGATCCTTGCAGTCACGAAAACTTCAAATCTAGAATGAAAAATAAAATAAATCACGACGTTTCGGGCGCAACACAAGCGTCTGTCGTCAGGTGTGAAAGCATGATCTGCTGCTGAGGCAGACTGTTTTAAAAGGTTTGAAATGGGTGTAGCTCAAGGGCGATAAAGAAGTGGCCGGGGCTAGTGATGTTAATGTGAGAAATTAGCATGTAACTGTAAGATCGGAGAGCGGTCTCCTAGACGAGGGCACGGAAGTGGCTATGTTACTGTGAGTTAAAACAATGATCAGCAACGGCAGAGGTATTGGTCCTACCATGTTTCAAAGAAAATGTTCTCCATAATGCAGGTTTTTCTGTGTGTTAGACCGCGTAAATATATAAATTTGTCGTTAATGTTAACAATGTTCATTTAAATGAATATTCAATGTTTGCTACTCGATAAACTAAACTATTTTTTTTTATTTTACTACGTAAGGCCTACTGAACTAATGTAGCTCTTTTTCAGGAGCGACCTGGCTAATCACAAATGATAGCCCAATGAAGTGGCCTATCATCATGTATACATGCACAGCAAGCCAAGTCCTCTACCGCATGGTGATGTTGATTCTAAATGTGGAGGGGAAAACCGGAGGACCCGGAGAAAAATCCGCGCGACCCACGGAGAGAGAGACGCTGATAACTCCACATGCATAGCAGGCGTCATGGTCGGGATCGAAACCACGACCTCCTGTATACCAGTCGAGGTAGTTAACATCTCCGAGCCACCGCGGCGTTGTTGTAACTATTTCTATTCTAATTTAGGACACTTTTTTTTTATTAATTCTTACCAGGCTGCTATACATTTCTCCATTATAAGCTACCTCGTTGAGATATCATTTGTGGCCAGGTCGCTTCTGAAAAAGAACTAATAGCTCTGGTGAGAAATAGTTGAGTTTATTAATTTTTAGTGCTTTTCTTACCTTTTCAATACATTGACACTCCTATAGTTTTTGTTGCATTTTGTGTTGTTGTTTTAACTAGCTGACCTGCCCCTACTATACATCTGTGGAAAAAGAGCTTTGGGACCGTCCATAAATGACGTCACGCACCTAGGGGGGGGGGGTCAGACATTTGTGACGATGTGTGACAAGGGGGGGGGGTTTGAGAAGTGTGACGTCACATCAAAATGCGCAAATTTAAATAAATATAGACAACACGTTCTACTTAATTAAATAGACTTTTTAATAAATGCTTTGTGACGTCATATTTGAGGGGGGTCTGGCTTTTTGTGACGCCGCGTGACGAAGGGGGGGGGGTAAAACATCGTCCAAAATCACGTGACGTCATTTATGGACGGCCCCTTTACAGCTCCTCGGATTCCTCCAGTATGAATAAACATTCTGATTCTGCAAGGCGGTCACCCATCCAAGCTCTACACAATCCCAAACGTGCTCACAGCTTCCCGGATCTGACAAGTTGGTCATAAGGCACAATAACTTGAGAATGCAATCTCGTATAACATCGGCAGCAGTACGTGTGGCCAAATCCCTATGTGTGTGCTGTGTCTGCACATCAAGCACTATTTCTGTTCACGTGTTCACCGCACGTGTCTGCACACCCACCCACCCGTGTTAATCATTGGTATGAACTGGCCAGAGCTCAAAAGCGACAAACACATCGGGAAGCAACTCGATAAGAAGAAGAGTGAACGCAGCACGGGCACCCCTCTCTATTACGCATTCAAACGCGCACCTTTTTGTTTATTTCCTTTCGTCGTCGTTGTTGTTGCGAAACAATGGGTTGCCTACGTCATCCCTCGTCACACGCCCCTTTAGACCAATGCCGAGCT